AATTAACCAGGAATCCCTTAAATCGAACCAATCTAACGTTAAATTTAAACAGTAGGGTCTTAAAATTAGCCAGGTGGCCCTTAAAATTAAACAGATTGCTCTTAAAATTAACTAGACGACCACTAGAATTAACCTGGTGGTTCTTAAAATTAAACAGGCTGTCCTTAAAATTAGATAGGAGGGTCTTAAAATTAGCCAGGAGGCCCTTAGATTTAACCAGAAGCCTCTTAAATCGAACCACTTTTTCCTTATAATTAAACAGAAGGCCCTTAAAATTATTAACTAGGTGGCCCTTAAAATTAACCATTTGATCCTTAGAATTAATTTGGGGATCCTTAAAACTAATTAATAGACCATTAGGATTAATCAGGAGAACCTTGGAGATTACTAGTAAAATTAGGGAATTCAATATATTGATTTTAATGGAGGCCTATCTAATTTTGAGCTTAAAGCGGCTATTATTATTAATCAGCAGAAAAACTTAATCGTCCTTGCTATTATTCATAAAATTATTATCCTTAGGTATAGGTTGAAATCACTCCAAAATTTTAATCTATTTATATGTTAAAATCATTACCTGGAAATTATTATGCTTATACTTATTAAAGAAGCTGTTCATTAAATTATCCTTAAAAATATTAATTCATCTAAGGCTATTGTATTTAGTTATTGGCAACTTTAATACCTTCACTCTAACTTTAGTGTCTTGAAATCATATTTTATTGATTTTAATTCCTTATTATACTTTAATTGAAAAAGTAATAAATTGTTTTACTACTATCTGATATTTTATTATTAGAGAGTTCTATTCTTATCTAGAACCATAGAAAAATTTTAGAGTTATATAAACAGTTCGAAATTGTCCTAATTCTCATTAAACATAGATGAAATTCGATCATAAATAAATTGGCCTAGCTAATTGCCTTCGCAATGAATTTAATACGTTTAATTTCCAACAAGTACTTAGACTTACATTTTTTTTAATATTAATATATTAATTTTTTAAGTTTTTAATAGAATTTGAATTTTCAATAAATATAAAAAAATTTATGTACCAAGTACTTTAAAATTAATCTATTAAACTTTTTTAATATTTGAAAGCAATATGATTTTTAAAGTATTATTTCATTTCTATTTTTATAACATTTTTCATTATTAAAAATTTTTTTTTTAATATATCAATATCAACTTAATAGATAAAATCAATGCCATTTAGTATATAAAGCAAATAAAATTGTGAATAGGAAATATTAAATTCAGTATCCTTTTTCTTTTTTATAAGTCTCAAGATCCTTAGGAATATGACAATAGCCATCTTCACTTTTTTACATTATTGACAATTTCTTAATTTTTCTTTAGTCATATTTTTTTTTCCTACTAATCTACTATAATCAATGCATCCTTTTCGATGAAAATGGTTTCCATGTTATAAAATAGGTCTTCTATCTACTGAACATTCAGAACAAAGATCATATTTACAATGATGACAAGTTACATGATTACATCCATCATCCTTAGTTTGAATTAAATCACAAAATGGGCAAATTATAATTGATTATCCTTACAAGAATTAAATAATTTCTTATCTTATCTCTTAAAACTTTAAATATTTTATAATATTCCTATTGTTTATTCTTTATGAGAAGCTTTCCTACATCTAGAACAAATGGTTGTTTTACGATTGCTACATTTTAATATGTAAATTTTTTTCTTTTATTCTGGTAAAACTTAAATTTTAGCTTGGCAATTAAAACATGTATCAAAAGCATTTAAGTAATACTTATTTTCTAATTTTTTTTGGAAAATTTCTATACCAATATTTGTTTTAAAAAATTCATATCATAAAGTATCTGACAAAAATAACACTTCAAATTTTCTGTTGATATCATCTCTTGTTAAATGAATTTTTTATGAACAATTTAATTACAACAAGGCAATATTATCTAATTTTCTGGAATCTCCACATAACATTCAAAACATATAACCAGATTTTTTAATTAGAAATTTTATTTGCTTGCATTTTATTATTTTTTTCTTTTATTATGGGTTAAACAATGATTTACTCTGTGTTCAAAACAGAAGGTTGTTCTAATGATTTTGGTTAAAATGGACATAATTTAAGATTTAAGGTTTAGGTTAAAAATAATTTTCAATAATATTGTGTGGGGGTTAGAAAAGGGTATTTAAATTAAATCCAAACATAAATGATTTGTTAAATGGAAACTACAACTATTTTTCAACTATTAGTATGGCTTTCTAGAAATTTTCTTATCCAAAGGTTAATTTTTAGAAGATTACTTTTAGTTCTATTCTATTTCTACTATTTGTAATAATATTTATAATTAAAAGGATGCTTATTTTAATTTTTCCATATCAAGTTACATTTCAAATTAATTAAATAAACCTAGATTAGAATTCTTTTTGAAAAACTATTCAGTATTCAACAATTATGTTTTTTTTATTTCCTTTCTCTTATAAAAAAATCTTTTAGTGCTGATTAAAATTGTTATTACTGTTAATCTTAAAAATATGAACTTAACATCCAAAATGTCCCTTATTCAAAGTAAGCTCTAAATTTAAAAGCCTCGATTTGCTATGCTTGTTTAATAATAAAATATAGTCTTTCGTTGTTCTTCTATTAAAACATTTTGAATAAAATTATTAATTCTTTAAATAATTCAAAAATTAAAAAAAAAAGAATTAATTCAAAAATTAGATTGAACAAAGTATCTTAATAAATTAGGAGCAAGATATATGGGAGGATTATTTTATTGTATTAAAATAATAATTATTAAATTGGAATTATTCAAAATAGAATTTATGTTCAAAAATCTTCATTATTATTTGATGTTTATCAGACTTTCTTATATGTGGATAATAAATTTTACTGAATAATTTATTGAAAAAAATATTAATTTAATTGGTCTAGCTTTAAAATTTACAAAAATCCTTAAAATCATTGATTGACTTTAAATTTATGAAGTATAATATATCATAAACATTAATTATCATATATGTAATTTTAATAAATATCCAAGTAATCATCTTCCAAAACTTTTACTCAAAAGAAAACTATATTTCATTTAGAAAAGCAGCTTTAGGATGTTTAGGAAAAGGAAGAGAAGATTGAAAAGGTTGAGATAAATAATAAAAAAGTTAGATTTGCAAGGTATTTAAGATTATTGATTCATTAAAAACAAAATGTGTAAGTTTTTTGATAATTTAGAAACTTGAGAGAAAGTATAAATAATTTGAAAAAGCGTAAAACTTTAGAGGGATTTTCAGGTGAAACACCAGTTTCAATTCAGTAATGTTTCTCTTTTCTAAATTCTGCAATATAAAATGCCAGAAGTTTAAGGTTAGATTAAAAAATTAACATATAGATCTCTTGACCTATCAGGAATAGAAATTGATCCTCTTTTGGCTATTGAATTGGGATTAGGACTTTAAAAAAATTCATCTTTGATTGAAATCAACCTTTCAGGATGTAAATTAAATAGTTTTAGCTTATAATATATATTTTCATCGATTGCAAATCACTAAACTTTATAATCAATCAATTTATTTAACAACTAAGGCTTTAATATTGATTTAATGAATGATATAAGCTAATTTGTTTTTAAAGGGAAAAATAAAATAAAAAAATTAAAGTTAACTCATTGCAACATATCTAGTACATCTATGAGTTATTTATTGAGAAATCTTAAGTAAAATTTATATTAGACTTTAGATACTCTAGATCAATAAATGCAATTGATTTATCAATGATGTAATTCACAACTGATGTTTTAACAAGTTTAGGGATGGCTCTTTAGCATTTTAAGGGTTAAAAGGTTTTAGAATATTTAAATATTGGAGATACAAACATAAGAAATTAAGGAATAGAAGTATTAGCTTCAAGAGTAAGTTGGAATTTGAGGAAAATAAATTTAAAAGAACTTATTATTAGAAGAAATTTTATTGATTAATAAGGAGTAGCACATCTTGAAGCATTTTTAAGAAAAATTAATAGCTTATAAAAATTAGATTTATCTTAAAATCAATTAGAAGAGTTTAATTGTTAAAATCTACTTTCAAGGAAAATGTATGAAGTCAATTTAAGTTCTAATTTAATATCATGCTTTCCTTAATAATTTTTTTTGCATACTTTAGTTATTAATTTATCAAATAATAATATTACAGGTTAGGGAGCATTTTAATTGTCTAGTATATTAAGTTAAAATCCTCTATGGATAGAATTAAATCTTTCAAATAATCAAATAAAAAGTGAAGGTTTTAACTCTCTTATATTTGGACTTAGAGATAATAAAATGTTAAAAAAATTCATTGTTGCCAATAATTAATTAGATGGTGAAGCAATAATGACATATATGATTAATCATGAATAGGTTAATTTTGAACATCTAGATATATCTTATAATTTTATAAGATATGCCTTAATATTTTTCTTATTAAAATTTATAAAGAGTGGTTGTCTAAGATGTCTTAGATGTTCATTTTAATAAAAATAGTAAAATGAAATTTGGGAAATTAATCAGAATTTTTCTTCCTTACATGAAGAAGAAAAGCTTGCTAAATCTTCTTAAAACTAATTCTAATTAATATCTTTTAATTTAAGAGAATTAGACTTTTCAAAAAATGAAAATATTTTTACTCCTGTTATTAGTTCTTTAGCAACTTATTTTAATAAAATAGAAATATTAGATTTATCTTCCTGTAAACCAGTAACAGAGTAAGATATAGAATTAATTTGCATATTTTTAAAAAAATCAACCATAGTACATGATTTAAATTTAAGAGACTTAAACATTGGAAGATTAAATATAGGGTGTGTTAAAAAATTAAGAAACTCTATTTTAAATAGTAGTTTAAAGAAATTAAATTTAAGTTAAAATTTTTTAGGTCAAATAGCTAAGGCTTTCTAAGTAGAAGAGGTTGTGGTAAACTTTAAATTAGAAAGCTTAGATATGAGTTATAATGGTCTTGAGTCAAAACATACAAATTATTTAGAAATAGTTTTATCATCTTATAGAAATTTGTAGTTTCTAAACCTATCGCATAATAATATTGATTTCACAGGATTGATAGCATTATCAAGAATATTATAAGAGAATAAATGCTTAAAAAGTTTAAAGTAAGCATTTATTTAATATTTTCAGTGTTTCTCATTAAAAAATGAGTGCTGATGATTTATTAATTTTGAGTTAAATAATTTCAAATGAAAATCTTTAATATTTAAATATTTCAGATAACCCTGGAATTAAGAGGTTGAAAACATTTTTTAATCTATGTTCCACTGAAAAAATAGAACTATTATAATTATCTTAAATACATTTTGATAAATCAAATTTAAAAAATCTATTAAATATTGTTAAAAAGTAAAAAAAGAATATTTTAGGAGTTACTTTAAATCGTTGTAATTTTAGATTAAATGATTATGAAAAATTTGGATAGTAATTAATATAGTGTAAAAATTTGTAAATGTTAAGTATGATATATAATCCTTTAATGTATTTGGATCTTAACAAAGCTGCAGTAATGTTAAATGAATTAAAAAATTTGAAAATTTTAAAATTTAATTAAGTTACTTTTACTGGAGAATCTTTTTGTCATGCCAAAGAATGGATTTTAAGTTCGGATAACTGTAGTGTAATATATTTAATTATTCTAGTTGAATACATTAGATTTAAGTGAAAACGTATTACGATAAGAATGGCTTGATGAATTATGTATTGGAATTTCTGGAAATAGAACAATATAAAATTTATTTCTTAACAAATGCAATTTAGGAAAACTAAACTTATAACCACTTGGTTAAGCCATTTCAATTAATCCTACAATTAGAATATTATCAATAGCTAATAATAATATTGTGGATAATTTGTGTAAAAGTAAATTTGCTGCTGTTACAGAGAATAAAACTATTTAATTTGAAGAACTCAATTTATCTGATAATCCAATTGATGAAAAAGAATTAATCTAATTTTTTACACCTCATGCATTTTAAAATAAATAAAAATAAGCTGCTGTTATAAAACTACTTAATTTATCAAATTGCAAATTATAAATAAGTTTTTTTAAAAATCTTATTAAAGAACATCGAATTCATTAAGATTAATTTTTATTCTCTAATATTATAAGTTTATCTTTAAGTAATAACTAATTAGATGATTCAATAGGAGACTTATTAAAATAAACAATAACTTTATCATTGTAAATATAGGAGCTATATCTTTAATAAAATTAATTTACAAGTGTAGGAATGATTTAAATACTAGAAGGTATTTTTGCTACTTAAACAATAAAAACAATAAATATTAGTAGTAATAAAATAGGCGATCATTTTGCTATGAAATTAGATGAATTAAAATTTTAAAAATGTTCAATAGAATTTTTATTATTAAGAGATAATAATTTTAAGAAATAAGGTTTGAAAATATTAGCTTAAATTCTTTAATATTAAAAGAATCTATTTATTGATAATATATGGTCTGATTTAGATGATGAAGACGCAGATCATATTTTAGAATAATATACAAGAATTTGTTAAAAATATCGTTTAGATTAATCATCACTCCCATCTTTTTTAAAAGAAATTTAATTATCTAAATCAAACCTTACTGATAAATTTTGTGAATCATTTGGTAAATATTATCCTCTTTTGGGGTTTATTGAATTTATTGATGTTTCAGATAACCCATATATAACTATGTATGGTAAAGTTTATTTATTTTTTCATTTGTTTGATTACAGTTATGAGAAACATTAATTAAAGGCATTACATATATCTGATTCTTAAGAAACAAGAAAATTATTTGATGATGGATTATTACGTTATTTGACATTAAGATTACGTAATTTCCTATTACGTTAGGCAATATAAAATTAAAAATAATAGCATAGATTACAGCCACAAGAAAATTCTAAAAAATAAATTGAAAAAATATTTGGAGGGATGTTTGGATCATGGTTGATTCATAAAATAAATAAGTTAATGAATTATTTAGATTTGATTGAACCATAAATTTTTATTGTAAGTACATTGTTTATAGGTAAATTTAGAAGAAATAATATTAATATAAAAACTTTAGTTATTTTTTTTTGGATTGGGTTTGTTTTTGTAAATATATCTTAATTTTATAAATTATTTGTTTAAATAAAAAGAAATAGTCAAAATTCAATAGAAAATTAAGAAGATTATCAATAAAGAACTAATGATATTTTTGCAGATTTAACTTACACTTTTGCAATAGTAGGAACAATATTTATTATTGAAATATTGGAATTAATCTTGACTGTTACATTAAGAAGAAAAATTTAACCTGCATTACAAATTATACATCCTAAAATGTTGGAACATCTTCATACTAGATTTCCACATAAAAGAGAATTAATTTTAATGATTTACTCTATTTTAAGCAAATCAAGTACATTGGCTGAAAGAATGTTTTTAGCATCTTTAATGAGTGTGAATGATAATGATTTTGACGCTTAAATTTCAAAATTTCAAATATTATTTAGTATAGTAATATTTGCAAGATTTGCTGACTCATTTATAATAACCTTAATAAATTTAGTAAAATTTATATCTGCCTCTCCAAGTGATGATTAAGCTAAATATTTATCATTATTGTAAAGAAATCTCTACTACTAAAATTATTTTGTTTCAAGTGATGTTTTAGTGACTTTATGTCCAGTTTAAGGATTTTAATTAACAAAAACAATTAAAGTGAATTATGAAATCATTATTGAAACATATAGGATGATTTTAATAGAATTAGTATTATTTATCTTTGTTTGGACTTTTTACACTTAAACTTAATTGACTAGATTTTCAAATTTGATTGATCCAAAATCAACAATGAAATTATGGATGATGTTTCTCCTATCAAAATGTGTTATCTCTATAATCTTATCCATTTTTAAGATTTTAACTATCAGACCTGCCGTTGTTAAGTAAAATGGATTTAATTAAGCATTAGCTATAAAAAGATTTCAACAAAATAAACTTTAATTTGTCAAACCATAAAATATATAAATCGAACAAAATTTGTAAAAAATCGAATTTGAATTGAAGAATAAATAATAGTAATAGAGCCAATCTTCTAGAGAACTTGAATAAAGAAGAGAAATTAAAATATAAAGTAGAATAAAAGATATTGATTAAATTGATGAAGAAGAAGATGATATTTTATTAAGTAAATAAACATCTAATTTTGAATACTCAAGTATTAAATTTCAATAAAAATAGATAATTCCTCATTATCTGATGTAACATTATAAGATCCACCTCAGTTACCTTTCAGTAATTCTTAACCAAAATTTAAGTATAAGATGTGATTCATTAATTTAACTTAAAAAATAAAATTTAATTAATTTACTTTCTATTTTTTATTTATAATAATTTTTGTAGATAATAATTTATCAATCTAAACTTAAAAATATATTTTCAAATAAATATAATTAATCTAAGGGCTTTATTCATCGAATCAATTAATCCTAAAGTTTTAGAAAATGAATTTTTATTATCTATAAGTTTTAAAATTTGATTTATAACTTGCCTAACACTAAATGAAAAACAACATAAGAATCAAAAAATTGATTTTTGTATTAAACCTTGAATAAAAAAAAATTTTAGCTAATCTAAATTATCATTGTAATAAACTATTCTACCAAACTTTCTAATTAAATTTATTCCAAATTCATTGATGAAGAATATTCCTAATATATTAAATTAGTACTTTTTATAAATAAATATTATGTGAATACTTTTTAAGATATGGATTATAATTACAATGTAGTATATACAAAATGTTTTAAATTTGGATATGCATTGATTTAATATACATCTACTAAAGGTATAATCTCAAGAGAGATAAAATTAGCTTAGATAAACTTAGGAAAACGAAAGTAATTATCTTATCTAAATTATATAGATATATTACTACATGAAGAGTTTTTCTTAAATAAGTAATTTAATGATTTTTAATAAGCTCAAAATTTGCTACCTTAATTATAATTTACTATTATTATAAGAAAGACTATTTCAGATCTCAAATATAAAATAATAATTATAATAGAATAATAAAAAACAGTCAACCTAAAATTAATAGTATAAAAAATCTTAATTGGATCTTATTATTATATAATTCTTTTTAAAATAAGAATTCATTGCCTTAAAAATTAAAAATATATTATATTAGCTTAGAAAACAACTTAATTAAAGAATATAAATATTATTAAAAATTAAATTTTAAATAATGCCTAAAAATAAGGGAAGAGGTGGAAAGAATTATAGAAGAGGAAAAAACGAAAATTTAACTAAGAGATAATTGGAAACAAAAGATGATGGTCAAGATTATGCCCAAGTTATAAAATTGTTGGGAAGTGGAAGACTTATTTGTTTATGTTTGGGTGACAGTAAATAAAGACTTGGACATATCAGAGGTAAAATGAGAAGAAAGGTTTGGATATAAAATGGTGATATTGTACTTGTTGCACTGAGAGAGTTTTAAGATGAAAAGTGTGATGTTGTTTATAAATATTTCCCAGAAGAAATTAAGTAACTTAAAAATCTCAAAGAAATACCAGAAGTATAAATATATTTTATTATTAAGAATTTAGAAGAACCAGGAGGTGATAATGTTGGTGATAATGTTATTTTTGTCAATAAAGAAGAATCATCAAGTTCTGATTCTGATTTAAGTGATAGTGATGATGATGACTCTGACCCAGAACCAAAACAATAATAAAAACAATAGCCATAAAAGCCATAACCTTAAAAGGCATAAGCCCCTGCCAAAGATAATAAAGAAAAAATTACCAAAAAAGATATCGATGATATATGAACAATTAAAAATTTTTTTTTGGCTAATTAATCAAATTGAAAGAATCTATATATCTATCTTATCTTAATATGATACAAATTAAAAGACTTGAAATTTTTGACATACTTAAGTAATTTTATATTATTTCTATTAGTAAATTTGTAAAAAATATTAATTAGGATGAAAAATTATAGCAGAAAGTTTTAAATAAAAAGTTCTATATTAAATACATTCTTTTTTGAGGTATAAAAGCTTGATTATTTTCAAATCATGATTTGTTTAAATTTAAAGTGTTGTGTAAGCCCTTTTTTAAATTTAATTCTCAAGTTTTCCTATCGTTTTAAGAGATTATTATAAAAATGCAAAAATAACCATTTCATTTTGTTCTAAAAATTCTTTTATTTCAAGAAATTTTAACTCTTATTTGGTTAATAATCAAATATTGTTTTGACTTTATTATTAATATCACAAATTAATTTTTAAATATCTTTAGAAATTTTACTCTAAATATAAAACAAAGATTTTTTCAAGAATTATAATAAAGAGCAAATGAGATTTAAAAATATATATTAAGATAAACTTAAAAATTAAGTTTTAAGATTATTTAATTTGTATATTATTTATCTTTGTTTGGACTTTTTACACTTAAACTTAATTGACTAGATTTTCAAATTTGATTGATCCAAAATCAACAATGAAATTATGGATGATGTTTCTCCTATCAAAATGTGTTATCTCTATAATCTTATCCATTTTTAAGATTTTAACTATCAGACCTGCCGTTGTTAAGTAAAATGGATTTAATTAAGCATTAGCTATAAAAAGATTTCAACAAAATAAACTTTAATTTGTCAAACCATAAAATATATAAATCGAACAAAATTTGTAAAAAATCGAATTTGAATTGAAGAATAAATAATAGTAATAGAGCCAATCTTCTAGAGAACTTGAATAAAGAAGAGAAATTAAAATATAAAGTAGAATAAAAGATATTGATTAAATTGATGAAGAAGAAGATGATATTTTATTAAGTAAATAAACATCTAATTTTGAATACTCAAGTATTAAATTTCAATAAAAATAGATAATTCCTCATTATCTGATGTAACATTATAAGATCCACCTCAGTTACCTTTCAGTAATTCTTAACCAAAATTTAAGTATAAGATGTGATTCATTAATTTAACTTAAAAAATAAAATTTAATTAATTTACTTTCTATTTTTTATTTATAATAATTTTTGTAGATAATAATTTATCAATCTAAACTTAAAAATATATTTTCAAATAAATATAATTAATCTAAGGGCTTTATTCATCGAATCAATTAATCCTAAAGTTTTAGAAAATGAATTTTTATTATCTATAAGTTTTAAAATTTGATTTATAACTTGCCTAACACTAAATGAAAAACAACATAAGAATCAAAAAATTGATTTTTGTATTAAACCTTGAATAAAAAAAAATTTTAGCTAATCTAAATTATCATTGTAATAAACTATTCTACCAAACTTTCTAATTAAATTTATTCCAAATTCATTGATGAAGAATATTCCTAATATATTAAATTAGTACTTTTTATAAATAAATATTATGTGAATACTTTTTAAGATATGGATTATAATTACAATGTAGTATATACAAAATGTTTTAAATTTGGATATGCATTGATTTAATATACATCTACTAAAGGTATAATCTCAAGAGAGATAAAATTAGCTTAGATAAACTTAGGAAAACGAAAGTAATTATCTTATCTAAATTATATAGATATATTACTACATGAAGAGTTTTTCTTAAATAAGTAATTTAATGATTTTTAATAAGCTCAAAATTTGCTACCTTAATTATAATTTACTATTATTATAAGAAAGACTATTTCAGATCTCAAATATAAAATAATAATTATAATAGAATAATAAAAAACAGTCAACCTAAAATTAATAGTATAAAAAATCTTAATTGGATCTTATTATATTAAATTAGCTTAGAAAACAACTTAATTAAAGAATATAAATATTATTAAAAATTAAATTTTAAATAATGCCTAAAAATAAGGGAAGAGGTGGAAAGAATTATAGAAGAGGAAAAAACGAAAATTTAACTAAGAGATAATTGGAAACAAAAGATGATGGTCAAGATTATGCCCAAGTTATAAAATTGTTGGGAAGTGGAAGACTTATTTGTTTATGTTTGGGTGACAGTAAATAAAGACTTGGACATATCAGAGGTAAAATGAGAAGAAAGGTTTGGATATAAAATGGTGATATTGTACTTGTTGCACTGAGAGAGTTTTAAGATGAAAAGTGTGATGTTGTTTATAAATATTTCCCAGAAGAAATTAAGTAACTTAAAAATCTCAAAGAAATACCAGAAGTATAAATATATTTTATTATTAAGAATTTAGAAGAACCAGGAGGTGATAATGTTGGTGATAATGTTATTTTTGTCAATAAAGAAGAATCATCAAGTTCTGATTCTGATTTAAGTGATAGTGATGATGATGACTCTGACCCAGAACCAAAACAATAATAAAAACAATAGCCATAAAAGCCATAACCTTAAAAGGCATAAGCCCCTGCCAAAGATAATAAAGAAAAAATTACCAAAAAAGATATCGATGATATATGAACAATTAAAAATTTTTTTTTGGCTAATTAATCAAATTGAAAGAATCTATATATCTATCTTATCTTAATATGATACAAATTAAAAGACTTGAAATTTTTGACATACTTAAGTAATTTTATATTATTTCTATTAGTAAATTTGTAAAAAATATTAATTAGGATGAAAAATTATAGCAGAAAGTTTTAAATAAAAAGTTCTATATTAAATACATTCTTTTTTGAGGTATAAAAGCTTGATTATTTTCAAATCATGATTTGTTTAAATTTAAAGTGTTGTGTAAGCCCTTTTTTAAATTTAATTCTCAAGTTTTCCTATCGTTTTAAGAGATTATTATAAAAATGCAAAAATAACCATTTCATTTTGTTCTAAAAATTCTTTTATTTCAAGAAATTTTAACTCTTATTTGGTTAATAATCAAATATTGTTTTGACTTTATTATTAATATCACAAATTAATTTTTAAATATCTTTAGAAATTTTACTCTAAATATAAAACAAAGATTTTTTCAAGAATTATAATAAAGAGCAAATGAGATTTAAAAATATATATTAAGATAAACTTAAAAATTAAGTTTTAAGATTATTTAATTTGTATATTATTTATCTTTGTTTGGACTTTTTACACTTAAACTTAATTGACTAGATTTTCAAATTTGATTGATCCAAAATCAACAATGAAATTATGGATGATGTTTCTCCTATCAAAATGTGTTATCTCTATAATCTTATCCATTTTTAAGATTTTAACTATCAGACCTGCCGTTGTTAAGTAAAATGGATTTAATTAAGCATTAGCTATAAAAAGATTTCAACAAAATAAACTTTAATTTGTCAAACCATAAAATATATAAATCGAACAAAATTTGTAAAAAATCGAATTTGAATTGAAGAATAAATAATAGTAATAGAGCCAATCTTCTAGAGAACTTGAATAAAGAAGAGAAATTAAAATATAAAGTAGAATAAAAGATATTGATTAAATTGATGAAGAAGAAGATGATATTTTATTAAGTAAATAAACATCTAATTTTGAATACTCAAGTATTAAATTTCAATAAAAATAGATAATTCCTCATTATCTGATGTAACATTATAAGATCCACCTCAGTTACCTTTCAGTAATTCTTAACCAAAATTTAAGTATAAGATGTGATTCATTAATTTAACTTAAAAAATAAAATTTAATTAATTTACTTTCTATTTTTTATTTATAATAATTTTTGTAGATAATAATTTATCAATCTAAACTTAAAAATATATTTTCAAATAAATATAATTAATCTAAGGGCTTTATTCATCGAATCAATTAATCCTAAAGTTTTAGAAAATGAATTTTTATTATCTATAAGTTTTAAAATTTGATTTATAACTTGCCTAACACTAAATGAAAAACAACATAAGAATCAAAAAATTGATTTTTGTATTAAACCTTGAATAAAAAAAAATTTTAGCTAATCTAAATTATCATTGTAATAAACTATTCTACCAAACTTTCTAATTAAATTTATTCCAAATTCATTGATGAAGAATATTCCTAATATATTAAATTAGTACTTTTTATAAATAAATATTATGTGAATACTTTTTAAGATATGGATTATAATTACAATGTAGTATATACAAAATGTTTTAAATTTGGATATGCATTGATTTAATATACATCTACTAAAGGTATAATCTCAAGAGAGATAAAATTAGCTTAGATAAACTTAGGAAAACGAAAGTAATTATCTTATCTAAATTATATAGATATATTACTACATGAAGAGTTTTTCTTAAATAAGTAATTTAATGATTTTTAATAAGCTCAAAATTTGCTACCTTAATTATAATTTACTATTATTATAAGAAAGACTATTTCAGATCTCAAATATAAAATAATAATTATAATAGAATAATAAAAAACAGTCAACCTAAAATTAATAGTATAAAAAATCTTAATTGGATCTTATTATATTAAATTAGCTTAGAAAACAACTTAATTAAAGAATATAAATATTATTAAAAATTAAATTTTAAATAATGCCTAAAAATAAGGGAAGAGGTGGAAAGAATTATAGAAGAGGAAAAAACGAAAATTTAACTAAGAGATAATTGGAAACAAAAGATGATGGTCAAGATTATGCCCAAGTTATAAAATTGTTGGGAAGTGGAAGACTTATTTGTTTATGTTTGGGTGACAGTAAATAAAGACTTGGACATATCAGAGGTAAAATGAGAAGAAAGGTTTGGATATAAAATGGTGATATTGTACTTGTTGCACTGAGAGAGTTTTAAGATGAAAAGTGTGATGTTGTTTATAAATATTTCCCAGAAGAAATTAAGTAACTTAAAAATCTCAAAGAAATACCAGAAGTATAAATATATTTTATTATTAAGAATTTAGAAGAACCAGGAGGTGATAATGTTGGTGATAATGTTATTTTTGTCAATAAAGAAGAATCATCAAGTTCTGATTCTGATTTAAGTGATAGTGATGATGATGACTCTGACCCAGAACCAAAACAATAATAAAAACAATAGCCATAAAAGCCATAACCTTAAAAGGCATAAGCCCCTGCCAAAGATAATAAAGAAAAAATTACCAAAAAAGATATCGATGATATATGAACAATTAAAAATTTTTTTTTGGCTAATTAATCAAATTGAAAGAATCTATATATCTATCTTATCTTAATATGATACAAATTAAAAGACTTGAAATTTTTGACATACTTAAGTAATTTTATATTATTTCTATTAGTAAATTTGTAAAAAATATTAATTAGGATGAAAAATTATAGCAGAAAGTTTTAAATAAAAAGTTCTATATTAAATACATTCTTTTTTGAGGTATAAAAGCTTGATTATTTTCAAATCATGATTTGTTTAAATTTAAAGTGTTGTGTAAGCCCTTTTTTAAATTTAATTCTCAAGTTTTCCTATCGTTTTAAGAGATTATTATAAAAATGCAAAAATAACCATTTCATTTTGTTCTAAAAATTCTTTTATTTCAAGAAATTTTAACTCTTATTTGGTTAATAATCAAATATTGTTTTGACTTTATTATTAATATCACAAATTAATTTTTAAATATCTTTAGAAATTTTACTCTAAATATAAAACAAAGATTTTTTCAAGAATTATAATAAAGAGCAAATGAGATTTAAAAATATATATTAAGATAAACTTAAAAATTAAGTTTTAAGATTATTTAATTTGTATATTATTTATCTTTGTTTGGACTTTTTACACTTAAACTTAATTGACTAGATTTTCAAATTTGATTGATCCAAAATCAACAATGAAATTATGGATGATGTTTCTCCTATCAAAATGTGTTATCTCTATAATCTTATCCATTTTTAAGATTTTAACTATCAGACCTGCCGTTGTTAAGTAAAATGGATTTAATTAAGCATTAGCTATAAAAAGATTTCAACAAAATAAACTTTAATTTGTCAAACCATAAAATATATAAATCGAACAAAATTTGTAAAAAATCGAATTTGAATTGAAGAATAAATAATAGTAATAGAGCCAATCTTCTAGAGAACTTGAATAAAGAAGAGAAATTAAAATATAAAGTAGAATAAAAGATATTGATTAAATTGATGAAGAAGAAGATGATATTTTATTAAGTAAATAAACATCTAATTTTGAATACTCAAGTATTAAATTTCAATAAAAATAGATAATTCCTCATTATCTGATGTAACATTATAAGATCCACCTCAGTTACCTTTCAGTAATTCTTAACCAAAATTTAAGTATAAGATGTGATTCATTAATTTAACTTAAAAAATAAAATTTAATTAATTTACTTTCTATTTTTTATTTATAATAATTTTTGTAGATAATAATTTATCAATCTAAACTTAAAAATATATTTTCAAATAAATATAATTAATCTAAGGGCTTTATTCATCGAATCAATTAATCCTAAAGTTTTAGAAAATGAATTTTTATTATCTATAAGTTTTAAAATTTGATTTATAACTTGCCTAACACTAAATGAAAAACAACATAAGAATCAAAAAATTGATTTTTGTATTAAACCTTGAATAAAAAAAAATTTTAGCTAATCTAAATTATCATTGTAATAAACTATTCTACCAAACTTTCTAATTAAATTTATTCCAAATTCATTGATGAAGAATATTCCTAATATATTAAATTAGTACTTTTTATAAATAAATATTATGTGAATACTTTTTAAGATATGGATTATAATTACAATGTAGTATATACAAAATGTTTTAAATTTGGATATGCATTGATTTAATATACATCTACTAAAGGTATAATCTCAAGAGAGATAAAATTAGCTTAGATAAACTTAGGAAAACGAAAGTAATTATCTTATCTAAATTATATAGATATATTACTACATGAAGAGTTTTTCTTAAATAAGTAATTTAATGATTTTTAATAAGCTCAAAATTTGCTACCTTAATTATAATTTACTATTATTATAAGAAAGACTATTTCAGATCTCAAATATAAAATAATAATTATAATAGAATAATAAAAAACAGTCAACCTAAAATTAATAGTATAAAAAATCTTAATTGGATCTTATTATATTAAATTAGCTTAGAAAACAACTTAATTAAAGAATATAAATATTATTAAAAATTAAATTTTAAATAATGCCTAAAAATAAGGGAAGAGGTGGAAAGAATTATAGAAGAGGAAAAAACGAAAATTTAACTAAGAGATAATTGGAAACAAAAGATGATGGTCAAGATTATGCCCAAGTTATAAAATTGTTGGGAAGTGGAAGACTTATTTGTTTATGTTTGGGTGACAGTAAATAAAGACTTGGACATATCAGAGGTAAAATGAGAAGAAAGGTTTGGATATAAAATGGTGATATTGTACTTGTTGCACTGAGAGAGTTTTAAGATGAAAAGTGTGATGTTGTTTATAAATATTTCCCAGAAGAAATTAAGTAACTTAAAAATCTCAAAGAAATACCAGAAGTATAAATATATTTTATTATTAAGAATTTAGAAGAACCAGGAGGTGATAATGTTGGTGATAATGTTATTTTTGTCAATAAAGAAGAATCATCAAGTTCTGATTCTGATTTAAGTGATAGTGATGATGATGACTCTGACCCAGAACCAAAACAATAATAAAAACAATAGCCATAAAAGCCATAACCTTAAAAGGCATAAGCCCCTGCCAAAGATAATAAAGAAAAAATTACCAAAAAAGATATCGATGATATATGAACAATTAAAAATTTTTTTTTGGCTAATTAATCAAATTGAAAGAATCTATATATCTATCTTATCTTAATATGATACAAATTAAAAGACTTGAAATTTTTGACATACTTAAGTAATTTTATATTATTTCTATTAGTAAATTTGTAAAAAATATTAATTAGGATGAAAAATTATAGCAGAAAGTTTTAAATAAAAAGTTCTATATTAAATACATTCTTTTTTGAGGTATAAAAGCTTGATTATTTTCAAATCATGATTTGTTTAAATTTAAAGTGTTGTGTAAGCCCTTTTTTAAATTTAATTCTCAAGTTTTCCTATCGTTTTAAGAGATTATTATAAAAATGCAAAAATAACCATTTCATTTTGTTCTAAAAATTCTTTTATTTCAAGAAATTTTAACTCTTATTTGGTTAATAATCAAATATTGTTTTGACTTTATTATTAATATCACAAATTAATTTTTAAATATCTTTAGAAATTTTACTCTAAATATAAAACAAAGATTTTTTCAAGAATTATAATAAAGAGCAAATGAGATTTAAAAATATATATTAAGATAAACTTAAAAATTAAGTTTTAAGATTATTTTATTTGTATAGTACTATTTTTGAGTAAAAATTATATAATTTTGTTAAATTATATTAAATAATAATAAAAAAGGATGGCTGAATTAATTTAAAATTGTTAAAGTTTCGATGATTTATAAAACAATATTCCGTAATGAGAATTCATTAACTCTTAGCTTTTGAATTCTTAAAAGAATATAAACAACGAAGAAAAGTAAGAATCATTTAAATTAAATATGAATGGATTACCTTTTTGATTTAAATTAGAATAAAATTGTCTTGATGGAAAATGATTATTTAAGAGAAGTTAAATCAGTTAGTATATGTTTACAAAGAAAATAAAGAAAAATTGGAAAATGTGTTTTGAAGATAAGTAAAAGGGAAAAAAAAGTGTCGTTATCTCATTGTCATTGGAAATACAATAAAAGTAATGGAAAATTTTGGTTATTTGCATCAAGAGAGTGGGTTCAAATATAATTCGATTTTTAGCATTAAAATAACAACTAGCAAAAAATGAAATAGATTCAAGTGAAATAGTTTAGAAAAAAAGAATTTTCTAGAGCGATTGAATTGAATTTTAATAAAAAAAGGTTTTTTGTATTATTTTAATTATAATGTAGTCTTTTTATATATGGAAATCAAAGAAGAATTAGGGTTAAGATAATATTTATAGTAGAAAAATAAGATAATGATATTTTAAGTAATATATTATGAGTAATGGAAGAGTAATGATTAACCCAATTTTGATTAGAAATAGTATTGTGTATCTTAAAATTTATTGGATTCAATTTGAATAAGATAAGAAGGAAGCTAGGATAGATGAGAAATATAATATAAAAGATAATTTTAATTTCTTAAATGTGATAATTATTTGTAAACCCCCATTTTCTTGATTAAAAGCATAACTTCCTAATGAAATAATGATATTATTTATTTTTCAAATATTTTTACTATATTTGAATGGGTGACTAAGAGCCTCTAAAAAGCAAGGAAGATTATTTTATAAATCGTCTTGCTTGTTCATTTAATATAAGAAATTCAATATAATAAGACAAATTCAAGAAATCTTTTGAAACAGAGGATAATAAGTATTATATGGTTAAGAATAAATTAGAATGGTGTTTGACAGATTAATGAAGGATGAAAGTAATATGATGGCTGTATTTGCCATACAATCTGGAGCAGAGTCTGTTACATTATTTTCTGATGTTCCTCATCCAGACAAGTTTAGAAAGAAAGGACTAATTGCCCTCAAAATATCAGAGATTCCATTGTCGGTATAGAATATAACTCAGAATATAGTGTTTTTGGAATTAACAAGAAATGTAACAATCTTATATTATTTTAGATTTTGGAGCATTTGTATTCAACATTTTATGAAATAATGAGTCCAATTCTATAGAATCCAAGTAATTAATAAGGTTGGACAGATTTGGTGGCTAAAGACTTAATGGAGAAGTTTAATGCATATGTTGCCTAAGTGTATGTAATGATAGGTTAGATTGAAGGAAGAACTAAATTGGTATATAATAAAATTATTTAAAAAGCCAATTCCCTCACATAAATTAACACAATCAGATACAACACCAGCTAAAGATAAGGCTCATGTTTATGAAAGTTCAATAATAACATGGACTAAATAAATAAAGAATGTATTGAAGTTGGAACCAGAATAAGCTTTAAAAAATGGACATAATCCAGGACCTTTGGTAGAATTGAAATTTTGGGAAAATAAAGCAGCCAATCTTAATAGTATTAAGGAATAACTGGAAGGACCAGAAGTTATTAAGATTTTAAGGTTTTTAGAAGTAAACAAATCAACATATACAAATCCATTTTCAAAATTATAAAGAGAAGTAGCAAAGGCAAGAGAAGAAGCTAATGATAATAATAAATTTTTAGACTTATTGAAAGATCCCTTCTAAAGACTTTAAGATACAGGTGGAGACTTTTAAGCTTTACATGAATTATTCATACCAATTATGCATAGAATATTATTGATTTGGAAGAATTCTAAATTTTATAATACTCCTCCAAGATTAGTAGTTTTAATTAGAGAAATTTGCAATGCCATAATAACTAAAGCTTAAGATTTTGTTAATGGACCAATGATTTTTTAGATGATTAGCTCAGAAGAGACATTTGAAGCATGTGAAAAATTATAAATTACTATTGATGTTTGCACAAAGTTTAAAGATGCATATTTTGAATACAAAGCTAAAGCTGAAGGTCATTGGAAATTGACAACAAATGCTTTATTTGTTAGATTGGATTCATTTTTAGAGAGATGTCATGATATTTTACATTTAACTAATACAATAGTTTAATTTAATAAATTAGCCAAAATTGATCTAGGTGGAACAAAGGGAAAAACATTGACTGAATCAGTTTAATAAATTTTTGTCGAATTCTAGAAAGCAGTAGAATAATTCTAATAAGTTAAATATGATATTATGGATATTACATAAAAAGAATTTGATGACAGTTTTTATGAATTTAGATCAAAGATAAAAGAATTAGAAAGAAGATTGGCTTCTGTAATTACTTAAGGTTTTGATGATTATGACACGTTACATGGAAGATTCAAATTATTAGATAGTTTCGAAGGTTTGTTATCTAGACCAATAATTTAAGATGAATTGGAAAAAAAACATATTGTTTTATTAGATATGTACAAATAAGACTTGAAATAAGTACAACAAATATTTTTGGAAGGATATGAATTAGTTGATAAATTACATGAAAGAGCTCCAATTTATAATAATATGCCTCCAATAGCAGGAGCATTGATGTGGTGTAAAGGATTGAGAGATAGAATAACTGAACCATTAGATAAATTGGCTTAATTAGGATAAGGTATAACAGAGAGAGAAGAATATAAGGATGTATTGAAATTATATTAATCAATAACAAAATAAATAAAGGATTATGAATAAACAAAGATTTTGAGTTGGGAATAAGAAGTTGGTAAAGTATCAGAAGAAAAGTAAAAACAACCACTATTAGCGAAAGATGAGAATGGATTATTAAGAGTTAATTTTGATCCTGCATTAGTTAGATTGTTACGAGAAGTCAAATATTTCACTTTGCTTGAATAACCAGTTCCTGAGTCTGCTTCTGAATTGTATTCTAAGAATGATACTTTCAGAGATTATATAGTGTAATTGGAAATGATAGTTGAGAATCATAATTTCATTGTTACTTAATTACATCCAATGGAAGAACCATTAATAAAAAATAGAATTGAAAAAATGGATGAAGTTCTTAAACCAGGAATAGAACATTATAAATGGAAAAGTAACGATATCAACAAGTTTATTGAAACAGCTAAGGCTACTGTTGATGAATTACATTAAATTGTATAAAAAATGAAAGAAACATTAAAAAAGATAGAATAAGCATTGGAGAAATTTAACACAAAAATTATAGAAAGAAAAAATAAACCAATGTCTCCTGATGATTATGATTAATTCTTAAAAGCTGTTGTTTAAAATAAGTTATCTATTGTTAAAGAAAATGGTACTTCTATTAATAAACTTGTTAAAGAAGTACTTGATTAAGTCAAAGTTGATAAGAAATAGTAAGCTTGGATTAATTATCAATATTATTTAAATTCTATTGTAATTAATGGTTTAGCAAGAGCTATCATCACTGCTTTAACACATATGAATGAATAAATTAATCCATAATATATTAAGAAGCATGAGATTGCTCCACTCTTTGATATAAAATTAGAATTATTTAGAAATGTTGGAATTTAATATGAGCCAGAAATTGAAGAAACTACACAAGGATAAAGTGTACGTAATACCATAAGAGGATGGGCTAATGATATGTTTTATATTGCAGGTCAATTTTAAAGATTAGATTCAGCTAATCCTTTTGGTGATTACTTACCTGAAATTAGAGAATATTTTGAAATCAAAGAAGTAGTCTAAGCAATCAATTAAAATTTAGATTATATTGAAGAAGAAACAAGATCATTTAAATAATCTTATATGACTTATAGTTATCTTTGGTTAGAAGATCCTAAGTAAGCATTCGAAGATTTCATGTTAAAGAATGAACCTAAAGATGCTCCTGAAGATGAAGATCAATCTTAAAATCCATTATTATAAGGATGTAGAATCAAAATACCAAAATTAGATTTATTTGATGATAAAATTACAACTTTGAAGAATATTTAATAAGAAATTAATAGAATCATGACACCATATGAAATATCTTGGTTAAGAATCAATCTCTAACCATTGAAAAGTGCTCTTGAAAATAAGGTCAGTCAATAAATAAAAGTCTATACCGAATTTTTGGTTGTGTAATTCAAGACTACTTTGAAAAATCTAAAGGGGTTCATCCAAAGAACAAATGATGGCATCAAGGAAAATCCAGCAAGTGAAGAAAATGCTGGAAATAGAGACTTGCTTATGAAAGTTATGAGAGTCATATCTGATGTTAAAGATGTAGAACACAAATGTGAAGGAATTGTTGTAAGAATGAAAGAAATGGTTAATAAATTAAAAAAACATGGAGTTTAAATTATGGAAAAAGGAGAAGAAGATCCAGTTTAAAGTATTGATAATGCATTTACTTAATTTAATGAAACAACTTAGAAAGTGTTTAAAATTAAGGCTGAAATCTTACCTCTTCAAACTTAAGAAACAATTAATATAAAGAAGAAATTAGATGAATTCTAAAAGAAAGTATCAGACTTTAGAACTGACACATTAAATCATCTACCTTACGGTTATCATGATGATATGAAGATGGATTAAATACTATATTCTTATGTCACAATCGATGAATACTATAAAAAATTATTATAAATGGAAAAAGAAGCAGCAGATTATAATTAATTGGAAAAGTTGTTTGAATTGGAAAAGAGTGCTTATAAATAATTAAGAGAAACCAATGTTGATTTGAAATCATTAAAAATAATGTGGGACGCTATTTCTATGGTTAATTATCAATATAATGATTGGAAATCAAAACCATTCAGATAAATAAAGGCTGATGTTTTATTAGAATCAAATAAAGTCTTAGGAACTTAATTGAAGAATTTACCAAAAGAAGTTAAAAATTTTAAAGGTTACAATGCAATTGTTGATAAAGTCAAAAATATGTCAGTTGTATTACCCTTAGTCTCAGCCTTACATAGTGAATTTATGGAAGATAGACATTGGAGTTAAGTGAAAGATATGACTAAGAGTAAATTTGAACATAAAGCTATGACTTTCTTATTTGATGATATTCTTGCATTATAATTGTATAAATTTGATGCCTAAATAAATGAAGTTGTAGAAGTCGCTTCAAAAGAAGCTAAAATTGAAAAGAAATTGAAAATGATTGAAACTGCTTGGTTGAAGTAGATCTTTGAATTTGAAGATTATAAAGAGACAAAGATCTTTTTACCATTAGATAATATGATGGAAATGCTAGATCAACACTCTCTTGATTTGATGGGTATGAAAGGATAAGGTAAATATGTTGAATTCTTTTATAACACTGTAGAAGATTGGAGAGAAAAATTAGGTAGAGTTGATTCAGTTGTTGGTGAATGGTTAAAAGTACAAAAGAATTGGAAGACATTGGTTAATATCTTTATAGGATCTGAAGATATTAGAATGTAATTACCAGAAGATACTAAAGTATTTGAAGCTGTTGATAAAGAATTCAGAGAACTTATGACTGAAGTTGCTGCTAATCCATTAGTTATTGAAGCATGCATTAATGAAAGAAAAGATTAATTAGTTGCTATGAGTGTTAATATTAAGAAATGCGAAAAAGCTCTTAATGATTATTTAGAATAGAAAAAGAAAGCTTTCCCAAGATTCTATTTCTTATCTAATCAATCTCTATTAACTATCTTATCAAATGGCTAAAATCCACCTAAAGTTTGTGAATTCTTAGGAGATTGTTTTGATGGAATGAAAACCTTGAGTTTTGAACCATAAAAAAATCCTAATGATATTCCAAGAAGCACCCACAGTATGATTTCTAAAGACGATGAGAAAGTTCCATTCTCAACTAATTTTGAATGTGTTGGAGCTGTTGAACATTGGTTATCATCTTTAGAATATAAGATGAGAGAAACACTTGAAGAAATCTTAGAAAAAGCAAAAGAAACATCTGAAAATTGGGAAAGTGGAGATAATCCTAGAGAAGATTGGGTTAAACATTATTGTGCTTAAATTGCATTATTAACTACATAAATTGTATGGACTGAAGATGTTACTAGAGCATTTGAAGATTTAGCTGGTGGTGCTGAAACTGCTATGAAAGAATGTTTGAAATTAATTGAAGTTCGTATTGACAATTTGATTAAAAAAGTTAGAGGTAATCTAGAAATTCTTGAACGTATGAAAATTATTAATATCATTACTATTGATGTCCATTCCAGAGATGTGGTTGAAAAATTCTGTCTTTAAAAGACTTAAGAATTAGAATCATTTGCTTGGTTATCATAATTGAAATTCTATTGGGATAATAAGGATAATGATATGCATTTAAGATAAGCATTGAGATTCAAGTGGGAAAAAGAAAAGGACAAATCAAAGTGTATTATTAGAATTGTTGATTGGTTCAGATTCTATTCATATGAATATGTTGGTAATGCATTAAGATTGGTTATTACTCCCTTAACAGATAGATGTTATATTACACTAACATAAGCATTGAATTTAACTATGGGTGGAGCACCTGCTGGTCCAGCTGGTACTGGAAAGACTGAAACAACAAAAGATTTAGGAAGAGCAGTAGGATTACCTGTCATGGTGTTCAATTGTTCAGATCAGATGGGTAAAGATTCAATGGCTCAAATCTTTATGGGTTTGTCTTAATCAGGAGCATGGGGATGTTTTGATGAGTTTAATAGAATAGCCATAGAAGTGTTATCAGTCATAAGTACATAAGTTAAAACAATATTGGATGCATTAAAAGAAAAGAAGCCAAAGTTGATATTTATGGAAGAAGGAGAAATATCAATATAAGACACAGTAGGATTTTTCATTACAATGAATCCAGGATATGCTGGAAGAACAGAATTACCAGAAAACTTGAAAGCCTTGTTTAGATCATGTGCAATGGTTGTTCCAGATTTAGTGTTAATTTGTGAAAATATGTTAATGTCAGAAGGTTTCTAATAGGCAAGAGCATTAAGTAGAAAATTCGTATCTTTGTATATGTTGTCAAGAGAATTGTTATCGAAAGCAAGACATTATGATTGGGGTTTAAGAGCAGTAAAATCAGTGTTAAGATAAGCAGGTAAATTAAAGAGAGCAGATCCATAGATAGCAGAAGATCCTTTATTGATGAGAGCTTTGAGAGATTTCAATATGCCAAAGATTGTAACAGATGATAAACCAATATTTTTGGGTTTGATAGGAGATTTATTCCCAAGAATAGAATGTGAAAGTAAAACAAATCCAGAATTGAAGAGAGTAGTTGTAGAGACAACAAAATAAGATATGGGATTAGTAGCAGAGGAAATGTTTGTTTTGAAAGTAGTTTAATTAGCAGAAATATTAGAAGTTAGACATTGTGTATTTGTTATAGGTCCACCAGGATGTGGTAAAACAAGTGTTTGGAAAACATTAGCAAGAACTCATTATAATAGAGGTGAAGATTTTGAATTAGATACATTAAATCCAAAAGCAGTTACATCAGATGAATTATTCGGTTGTTATACAAAAACAAAGGAATGGAAGAATGGTGTGTTGAGTATGATTATGAAGAATTAAAATAAATGTGAAGAGAAATATAAACCTACTCATTTACATAAGTGGTCTATATTAGATGGAGATATTGATCCAGAATGGATTGAATCATTGAATACAGTTATGGATGATAATAAAGTACTGACACTTGTTTCAAATGATAGAATTCCTTTAACTCCTTCAATGAGATTATTGTTTGAGGTTTCTAATTTAAAGAATGCCACTCCTGCAACAGTCTCTAGAGGTGGTGTATTGTTTATTAATGAAACTGATATTGGTTGGATGCCTTATATGAATAGTTGGTTAGAAAGATCATTTGAAAAATGTGTAGTTAAAAGAGAAGGTTTAATGGGTTAAGTACCTCATTCACCATAAATTGATGATATTGCTAAATCAGTTTTCTATAGATGTTTCTAATAATATTTTGAAACCAATCCAGATATTAGAGATAAAAGTAAAGTTAGACTTATTGTCCCATAAGTTGATATTGCTTAAGTTATGACTATTTGTATGATCTTGGATGCTTTACTTTTAGAAACTGATTATCAAAAAATTGCATAAATGAAAGAGGATGATTAAAAAATGATTTATGAAGCTTACTTTATATATGCAGGTATGTGGGCTATTGGAGGTTGTTTTGGAGGAGGATAAGATGATGAAAAAGATATGAAAGATTTTAATTCTGTTTGGAAAGCTGCTGCTAAAGTTAGAATGCCAGAATAAGGAATGTGTTTTGATTATTATTTTGATTTTGCTGAATAAAAATGGACACATTGGTAAGGAAAAGTTGTACCTTATGTTGCAACTGATGAAGCTATCTTCTCTAAAATTTATGTTGGTACACTTCATACTACTAGATTAAGAACTCTTTTAGATTTTCATCTCAAAAGAAAGAAGTGTGTATTATTTGTTGGATCTGCTGGTACTGGTAAATCTGCTGTTATTAAAGATTATTTGAGTTAAACTAAAACTGATTAAGTCTCTTATAAAACTATCAACTTCTCATCTTTCACTGATTCATTGGCTTTATAAAAGAATATTGAATCTATGGTTGAAAAGAAATCTGGTAGAACTTTTGGTAGTGCTACTGGTAAAGCTTTAATTTGTTTCATTGATGATATGAACATGCCCTATGTTGATAAATATGGTACATAATAACCTATCTAATTACTCAGATAAGTTGTCGATTATGGAAGTGTTTTCAATAGAGAATAATTAGAAGAAAGAAAATTCCTTCAAGATTTACTCTTCTTTAGTGCTTTGAATCAAAAATCAGGATCTTTTACTATCGATCTAAGATTATAAAGGAATTTCTCTGTCTTCACAATGTACACACCTAATGCTGAAATTATTAAAACTATCTTTGGTGCCATCTTAAATAGTCATTTAGCAACCTTTGATGATAAAATTCATAAATTATCTGATAAAATAATTGAAGCAACAATTCACTTATTTAATAAGGTTCTAAAAGATACAAGATATTCTCCTTCAGCGAGAAAATTCCACTATCAATTTAATTTCAGAGAACTTGCTAAGGTTGTAGAAGGTTTAATGAGATCAACACCAAATTAATATAGAGGACAACCAAATAGAATGCTTAGATTATGGGCACATGAGGCTAAGAGAGTTTTTGAAGATAGATTCATAAATGAAGAAGATATAAAAGTGTTTAGAGATTATGTAAAGGATGCATTAGTAAAGAACATTGGAGAGCCAGATGATAAGGACAATCCATTAGAAGAGCCAAATGTATTTACAACATTTGTAGCAGCTCATATAGGTTAAGAATAATAATACACAAATTGTGATGCTTAAACTTTAAAGAAGGTTTTAGAGGATAAATTGAGAGAATATAATGAAGTGAAAGCAATGATGAATTTGGTATTATTCTAGTAGGCTATGGAACATGTTTGTAGAATAGCACGTATATTGGAATTGCCAGGAGGTAATGCATTATTGGTTGGTGTTGGTGGTTCTGGTAAATAATCATTAACAAGATTGGCTACATTCATTTTAGGATATGAGGCTGATTAAATGGTAGTTACTTCAAATTTCACAATAAATGATTTAAGAAATTACTTATAAGAAATCTATAAGAAAGTTGCAAAACCAAGTGCAGGAAGTAGATGCTATATATTGACAGATTCTCAAATAAAAGAGGAAATCTTTTTGATTCCAATAAATGATATGTTAAATTCAGGATGGATATTTGATTTGTTCCCTAAAGAGGATTATGATAATATGATTTAAGGATTAAGAAATGAAGCAAAAGGTGCTGGTGTATTAGATAATTTAGAATCAATAACTTAATACTTTTTAGATAAGATGAGAAAGAATCTTCATGTAGTATTGTGTTTCTCTCCAGTTGGTGATACAATGCGTATTAGATCACGTAAATTCCCAGGTATTATTAATTCAACAAGTGTTGATTGGTTCCATCCATGGCCAAAAGATGCTCTAATTGATGTGTCCTATAGATTTATTTAAGAAGTAGAATTAGACACAGATGATTTGAGAAAGATTATATCACTTCATATGGCTGAAGTTCATCTTTCAATTGATTATGCTAATTAGAAATATTTATAATTGGAAAGAAGATACAACTATACAACACCAAAATCATTCTTGGAATTGATTGAATATTATAAGAAATTATTGGGTGAGAAACGAGAATAGATCTCTAAACAAATCAAAAGATATGAATAAGGTTTGTAAATTTTGGCTGATACACAAGGCAAAGTGTAATTATTATAAGCTGAATTGAAAATTAAAATGGTTGAGGTTGATAAGAAGAAAAATGAAACTGATGTTTTAATTGAAAAAGTAGGAAAAGAATCTGCAGTTGCTGAAGTAGAATAGAAAATTGCCAATGAAGAAGAAGAAAAAACTAATGCAGCATCAAAAGCAGCAGAAGATTTAGCTGAAACTGCAAGAGTTGAATTAGAAAAAGCATTACCTGCCTTAGAAAAAGCTAAAGCAGCAGTTGATTGTATCAAGAAACCATAAATTACAGAAATGAAATCTTTAGGTTCACCTCCTACAGGTGTGTTGACAACTGCAAGAGCTGTTCTTATATTATTAGGAGAGAAAATCACTCTTTAAGATCCTGAAGATAAATTATGGAAGAAATCATAATAAGTTATGAACAATCCTTAACAATTCTTAGATAGAATAATTAATTTTAATGGTAAATCAATTGATCCATAGATTTTGGCATCTGCTAATAAAATCATTGAAGATCCTGCTATGAAATTTAATGAAGAATCAATGAAAGGGTAAAACTTTGCTGCTTCTAAATTATGTGCTTGGGCTGTAAATATTGTTACCTTTAACACAATTTTCAAGTTGGTTGATCCTCTTGAAAAATCAAGAGATGCTGCTATGGCTGATTTAGAATAGAAGAAAAAGGAATTAGCTGTTGTAAAAGAGAAAGTTAGAGCATTGAATGAAAAAGTCAATAAATTAAAGAGAGATTTAGAGGAAGCTGAAAGAGTTAAATAATTGGTTGAAGCTGATGCTAATGCTTGTTTAGAGAAGTTATCAGCTGCAGAGAAGCTAGTTAATGGTTTAGCAGGAGAGAATAAACGTTGGGGAGAAAATGTTAAAGAATTATCTGGTAATATTAAATCAGTTGTAGGAAATGCATTATTAGCTGCTGCATTTGTGTCATACATTGGAGCATTCTCAGCTAAATTAAGATTAGAATTATGGTCTAAAATTTGGTTAACCGATTTATAAGCCAAATAGATTCCTTTGACATAAGGTATAGATCCACTCAAGATTTTAACAACTGAAGCTAAAATTGCTAGTTGGAAGAATGAAGGATTACAATCAGATCAAATGTCTTTAGAGAATGCTTCAATTATTAGTGCTTGTTCAAGATGGCCACTTATTATAGATCCATAATTATAAGGTTCAGTATGGATTAGAGGATCTTAAGGGGATAATTTAGTTACTATTAATGTCAGTTAGAATAAATGGTTATAATAATTGAATTCCTCAATTCCTTTGGGTAAAGCAGTGTTATTGGAAGGTATTTAATAAGAAATTGATGCTACACTTGATCCTTTATTAAGTAGAGCTATAGTAAGAAAAGGAAAGAGTATTTATTTAGAATTAGGAGGTGAATAAATTGATTACGATCCTAAATTTAAATTATTTTTGATGACTAAATTGTATAATCCTCATTTCAGACCTGAAATTGCTGCTTAATGTACAATTATTAACTTTATTGTTACTGAATCAGGTTTAGAAGAACAATTACTTGCTGCAGTTGTGAATATTGAAAGAAATGAATTGGAAATGAAGAGATAAGAATTGGTTAAATAATAAAATGAATTTTCAGTTCAATTAGATAAATTAGAAGAAAATCTTTTAATATAATTATCTGAAGCAGATCCTTCAACTATTTTAGAAAACAAGAGTTTGATTGCTAATTTAGATAATACTAAATAAACATCTAATACAATTACAGAATAGAGTAAGATTGCAAAAGTTACTGAAGTTGAAATTAATCAACAAAGAGAAATATATAGAATAGTGGCTGCAGAAGGTGCTATGCTTTATTTCTTGGTAATTTAATTATGTGTTATGGAACATATGTATTAATATTCTTTGGAATCATTCAATAAATTCTTCTTTAAAGCTATTGAAAGAACTACAATAAGAGATGAAACAAGAACAGAAGAATTGAGAAAGAATATTAGATATACAATTTATTAATGGATAAGTAGAGGATTATTTGAAAAACATAAATTAATCTTTTTAACATTGATAACATTTAGATTGATGTAAAAGAAAGTAATTGAAGTGGTATATGAGCCAGCTGAAATGGATTTCTTAATAAAATGTGTTCCTAGAGCAGGAGTAGAAAATAATTTAGATTGGTTACCAAATTAAGCATGGGATTCAGTACAAGGAATGATATAATTAGAAGAATTTAAATTATTTGCATAGAATATGGAGAAGGATGCTCCAATAAGATTTAAAGATTGGTATAATGAATTATAACCAGAAGATGTAAAATTACCATTTGATTGGAAAAGATTGGATTAAATGCCATTTAAGAAATTATTAGTTTTAAGATGTTTAAGACCAGATCGTATTACATCAGCATTAACAAATTTCATTAGATTTGCATTACCATAAGGAGAATCTTTTGTTGAAATGGATTCAAAATTGAATTTCTCAGATGTGCTATCAGGATCAGTAGATGATTCAGATGCAACTATTCCAATATTCTTTATATTATCTCCAGGAGCCGATCCTGTAAAGGAAGTTGAAAAATTGGCAAGATTAAATAAGATAGAGCCAGGAAAATCATTTTGGAATATCTCATTAGGATAAGGTTAAGATGAAATAGCTAGACGTAGAATAGAAGAAGGTAATAAAGAAGGACATTGGGTAATGTTATAAAATATTCATTTGATGCCTAAATGGTTATTAGAATTAGAGAAGATCTTGGATTCTTTCACTGGAGAACAAGGAGGTGGTAATCCAAGATTTAGACTATTTTTATCAGCTGAACCTTCTAGTGGAATTCCTATAGGATTATTAGATAGATCAATTAAATTAACAAATGAACCACCTGCAGGTTTAAGAGCAAATATGAAGAGAGCTTGGGCTTATTTCAGTAAAGATGAAATAGAAGATAAAGATCCAAAGATTAAATCAATTTTGTTTGGTTTATGTTTCTTCCATTCTACTGTTATTGAGAGAAGACGTTTTGGACCTAAAGGATGGAATATGTCTTATCCATTCAATATGGGAGATTTAAGAGATTCATATTTGGTTATGAATAGATATATGGAATAAGGAGCAGGTGGTAAAGTACCATTTGATGATTTAAGATATATCTTTGGTGAAATTATGTATGGTGGTCACATTGTTGATGATTGGGATAGAAGATTATGTATGGGTTATTTAGATAATATCATGCATGAAGGAATATTTGATGAATTGGAATTATTCCCTTTTATCGAAGGCAAAAATTTATCATTTAAGGTTCCTCCACCAAATAATTATGAGAAATACATAGAACATATTGAATAAGTATTAACTCAAGAAACTCCACTTGCTTATGGATTACATTCAAATGCAGAAATAGGTTTTAGAACTCAATAATGTTTAACTCTTTTCTCAACACTTTTAGAATTGTAACCTAAAGATAGTGCTAATGAAGAGAGTAGTAGTGGTGTAAGATCAAAGAATGAAATTGTATAAGATCTTATTAAATATTTGGCTGAAGATGTTAACTTAAAATCTATGATATTTAATATTGATGAAATTAAGAATAAGATTGATGCTGAAAATAAAGGACCTTATTAAAATGTATTCTTGTAAGAACTTGAATATATGAATTACTTATTAATTGAAATTGTTAGATCGATGGAAGAAATAGATTAAGGTTTTAGAGGTATTCTAACAANAGATTTGCATTACCATAAGGAGAATCTTTTGTTGAAATGGATTCAAAATTGAATTTCTCAGATGTGCTATCAGGATCAGTAGATGATTCAGATGCAACTATTCCAATATTCTTTATATTATCTCCAGGAGCCGATCCTGTAAAGGAAGTTGAAAAATTGGCAAGATTAAATAAGATAGAGCCAGGAAAATCATTTTGGAATATCTCATTAGGATAAGGTTAAGATGAAATAGCTAGACGTAGAATAGAAGAAGGTAATAAAGAAGGACATTGGGTAATGTTATAAAATATTCATTTGATGCCTAAATGGTTATTAGAATTAGAGAAGATCTTGGATTCTTTCACAGGAGAATAAGGAGGTGGTAATCCAAGATTTAGACTATTTTTATCAGCTGAACCTTCTAGTGGAATTCCTATAGGATTATTAGATAGATCAATTAAATTAACAAATGAACCACCTGCAGGTTTAAGAGCAAATATGAAGAGAGCTTGGGCTTATTTCAGTAAAGATGAAATAGAAGATAAAGATCCAAAGATTAAATCAATTTTGTTTGGTTTATGTTTCTTCCATTCTACTGTTATTGAGAGAAGACGTTTTGGACCTAAAGGATGGAATATGTCTTATCCATTCAATATGGGAGATTTAAGAGATTCATATTTGGTTATGAATAGATATATGGAATAAGGAGCAGGTGGTAAAGTACCATTTGATGATTTAAGATATATCTTTGGTGAAATTATGTATGGTGGTCACATTGTTGATGATTGGGATAGAAGATTGTGTATGGGTTATTTAGATAATATCATGCATGAAGGAATATTTGATGAATTGGAATTATTCCCTTTCATTGAAGGTAAAAACTTATCATTTAAAGTTCCACCACCAAATAATTATGAGAAATATATAGAACATATTGAATAAGTATTAACATAAGAAACTCCACTTGCTTATGGATTACATTCAAATGCAGAAATAGGTTTCAGAACTCAACAGTGTTTAACTCTCTTCTCAACTCTCTTAGAATTGTAACCTAAAGATAGTGCTAATGAAGAGAGTAGTAGTGGTGTAAGATCAAAGAATGAAATTGTATAAGATCTTATTAAATATTTGGCTGAAGATGTTAACTTAAAATCTATGATATTTAATATTGATGAGATTAAGAATAAGATTGATGCTGAAAATAAAGGACCTTATTAAAATGTATTCTTGTAGGAACTTGAATATATGAATTACTTATTAATTNAGATTTGCATTACCATAAGGAGAATCTTTTGTTGAAATGGATTCAAAATTGAATTTCTCAGATGTGCTATCAGGATCAGTAGATGATTCAGATGCAACTATTCCAATATTCTTTATATTATCTCCAGGAGCCGATCCTGTAAAGGAAGTTGAAAAATTGGCAAGATTAAATAAGATAGAGCCAGGAAAATCATTTTGGAATATCTCATTAGGATAAGGTTAAGATGAAATAGCTAGACGTAGAATAGAAGAAGGTAATAAAGAAGGACATTGGGTAATGTTATAAAATATTCATTTGATGCCTAAATGGTTATTAGAATTAGAGAAGATCTTGGATTCTTTCACTGGAGAACAAGGAGGTGGTAATCCAAGATTTAGACTATTTTTATCAGCTGAACCTTCTAGTGGAATTCCTATAGGATTATTAGATAGATCAATTAAATTAACAAATGAACCACCTGCAGGTTTAAGAGCAAATATGAAGAGAGCTTGGGCTTATTTCAGTAAAGATGAAATAGAAGATAAAGATCCAAAGATTAAATCAATTTTGTTTGGTTTATGTTTCTTCCATTCTACTGTTATTGAGAGAAGACGTTTTGGACCTAAAGGATGGAATATGTCTTATCCATTCAATATGGGAGATTTAAGAGATTCATATTTGGTTATGAATAGATATATGGAATAAGGAGCAGGTGGTAAAGTACCATTTGATGATTTAAGATATATCTTTGGTGAAATTATGTATGGTGGTCACATTGTTGATGATTGGGATAGAAGATTATGTATGGGTTATTTAGATAATATCATGCATGAAGGAATATTTGATGAATTGGAATTATTCCCTTTTATCGAAGGCAAAAATTTATCATTTAAGGTTCCTCCACCAAATAATTATGAGAAATACATAGAACATATTGAATAAGTATTAACTCAAGAAACTCCACTTGCTTATGGATTACATTCAAATGCAGAAATAGGTTTTAGAACTCAATAATGTTTAACTCTTTTCTCAACACTTTTAGAATTGTAACCTAAAGATAGTGCTAATGAAGAGAGTAGTAGTGGTGTAAGATCAAAGAATGAAATTGTATAAGATCTTATTAAATATTTGGCTGAAGATGTTAACTTAAAATCTATGATATTTAATATTGATGAAATTAAGAATAAGATAGATGCTGAAAATAAAGGACCTTATTAAAATGTATTCTTGTAAGAACTTGAATATATGAATTACTTATTAATTGAAATTGTTAGATCGATGGAAGAAATAGATTAAGGTTTTAGAGGTATTCTAACAATCTCTGAATAAATGGAATAGATTATTGATGCTATTGCTTTGAATAGAGTACCAACAGTTTGGGTAGCATTAGCATATCCTTCTAAAAGAGGTTTAGCATCATGGTTAACTAATCTTATTAAGAGAATTGAATAATTGAATCTATTTAGAGATGATCCTTATGCTATTCCCAAAGTTACTATGATTGGCAGATTCTTTAATCCTCAATCATTCTTAACAGCTATTAAATAGGTTATAGGTAGATAAAGAGCATAAGAATTGAATAGATTATATATTGCTACTGAAGTTACTAAAAAGAGTATAGAAGAAATTGATTAAACTGCTAAAGATGGTGCATATGTCTTTGGATTTGTATTAGAAGGAGGTATATATTTTATTTCTATCTTCTCTAGCTCGTTGGGATGTAGTTACAGGTTAACTTGAAGAATCTAGACCTAAAGAAATGTTTAGTGTCTTACCTGTTGTTTATTGTAAAGCACTTATGGTACCTGCTGAAGGTAAAGAGGATAAAGCTCTCTATTAATGTCCTTGCTATAGAACTGAAGATAGAGGTAATACTTATATCTTTACTGGACAACTCAAAACTAGACTCAATCCAAGAAAATGGATTTTAGCTGGAGTTGCACTTTTACTTGATGTTGAAGGTGTCTCTGATGAAGCTGCTGCTGCTAAAAAAGAAAAGAAAGCTTGAAAACTCATTACATTTTATTATATATAAATTCAATCAATTCATTTTTTATAACTTAAAAATGTATTTTTATTTCTATTCTCTCATTTAATTTATACATCTCTTAATCTTTTTTATTATTTAGACATCAAATAAAAAAAATATCCAAAAATAATGTAATGGATATTTTCTTATATTATTCTCAAAATTACATATAAAGTACTGATATAATTTTAAAAACAAGATTATGCAAACGCAATACAATTTTTTACAAAAGAATTATCTTAGTATGTTAGAACTATCATAGAATTTTCTTATAAAGCTATTCGAACCATACATAAATTAGAGAGAAAACCTCCTTCAACATAAAAATCCAACTTATGAGACAAATACAGAAAAAACCATTGATAATATAGGAACAAATTACATATTGGAGTAAAAATTCATTAAACTGTCAGATTAATATACCTCTTTGTAAATTATATTAATAATTATTCAAAAAAGAGGATATTCTTGCCAATCTAATAAATTAGAATCAGAAGATCAAAAAGCAAAAAAAAATTGAATCAAAAGATTTCTTCAGGTGTTAGTGCTAAATCTAATGAATGATGAGGTATTGATATTTTTACTGATATTTTATATTTTTCATTTATTTGTTATAAAAATTATTAGTGATTTTATTCAAAAATTATTAAAGAGATATAATACTATTATCCATGTTAGAAATTGATTATTGATATATAGTTTCTCAATCCTATTAGATTAGATATAGGATGATCAAAAATTATTAATGATTTTTTATCATCTTTAAAATTTAATTGAAATGAATAAATTTCTGATAATATGAGTAATTTTTCTATGTATATATTCTCAATGTAGTTTTAAGTATTTTTAAAGCATTAATAAAAAAATTGGAAACATTAAATCCATAGAAAATAAAAAAGGATTGAGTAGTGTATGTTAAATAAAAATAGAAAGGATGATGTGAAGGATTAGGTTGTATTTGGATTGAATAAGGATGAGAAAATAAAAAATTAAGGAAAAAAAAATGATCTGATATAATTTTAAGTTTGTAAAATGCTAGAAATTGGCGGGAAATGAATGCATTTTAAAGGGGGAGGAGTAGTTAGAATGTTTTATGTAATTTTATTGGTTGATTATAATTATATAGGGATTTTTTTGTATTGAAATTTTAATTAAAAAAAAAGCATTGAATCTCAATTTAAATAACAAAATACATTAGCATAAAACAAATGACAGATAATAATACTAAAAAGGTATATATATAAATTAATAATTTGTTTAGGAAGCACCACCCAAAAGACCATAATGTGCATTCTTTATTTACAAATAGGAGGTGTACTAATAAGTAAAGGATGCCAATCCTGGCAAGAAAATGACCGATATAACTAAAATCATTTCTGAATAGTATAAACAACTACCAAAGGATAAAATTGATTAATATGAATAGAAGTATAAGGATAGTAAGGCTATCTTTGAAAAAGAAAAGAAGTTCTCAAATCTTTATATTTTTTAGAACTTATGAGGATAAATATGGAAAGATTAAGAATGAAAGAAAGAAGAAGAAGGGTGGTGACACTTAGGCAACCAAAAAAACCTAAAATAAAAAATAGAAGAAATAAGAATCTGAAGATGATGAAAGTAGTGAAGATGATGATTGAAATAATTTATATTTTAATAAATAAATATTTTATTTTTAGAATGGGAGGATCTAAATCTAAAGCAATTAAGAAACATGCAAAAGTGGCATTTACAGATTCAGAACTTGAAATTTTGGAAGTTTATTTTGAAGTATTGAAATGTCATGATTAAATGTAAAAATTTAACATAATATGATCTAAATAGAAACGGATATCTAACTTAAAAATCAATGGTCCCAGAATTTCCTGAAAACCCTGATTTCTCAATTAAACTATATAATTGGATGAAAGAACGTTGCAAGAATTAATAGATAGATTACACTAATTTTGTGATTACATGTATTTAATTAATATAAACATGTAGTGGAACTTCTATTAAAAGAATAGTAGGAATACTATTTAAGTGATTATAAATTTAGAGTTCTAGAGAAATTTGAATTATTTGCATTAATAAGTTTAGGTTGTTTAGAAAATGAAAAGGATGCAATAAATAGGTACTTATTTTAATGTATTTTAGATTCCAAGTAAGTTACTCTTAAGGTAGTACAGTTATAAAGGAATTATTGAATATGTATTATTTTAACAAGGAAGTAACTAATAGCTAAAGAAATGATTTGGCTGCCAGAAATGTAGCTAATTCTATTTTTGATTAAAAGGCATAATTACCATTCAATTAATTTATTGGATAAGCAAAATAACAGTTAATTTATGCTAATAAAATGTGCAAATTATATTTTACAAAGAAATTTATTGATCCTCATCTTAAATACGGAATTCCAACTTTGACATCTTCTAGTTTTATTTTAAATGATCAAATACTTGCATTATTATAAATGAGTTCTCCAGACTTTAACAAAATTAAATAATTGGATCTCAAATTCTCATCATCTGTAGGATATGATGATTTAGAGCATATTACAGAGATAATAATTGAATCTTAATAGCCTTTGCTTTTTATTTTTAGAAATAGGGAAGATGAAACACAAAATGACAGCTTCTAACAATAAATCTTTGGAGCTTACATTAGTATTGATTAAACAATAGAGACTCATTTTATTAGAAAATAATAGAAAGACCCTATGGGTAATAATAATTATTATTTAGGAATCCTTTATAATCCTAATGATTAAGTATCCCTTTATTTTGGTGATGAGAAAAGTTTCCTCTTTTCTTTATAACCTAAATATTAATTATTCATGAGTACATTTGACTTTAAATCAAAATAATGTTTTGCTTATTTAAATAGTAGAGCTTTTAATCTGAAAGTTCCTTAACCTTATGGATTAGGTTTTGGTGGGGATGGTAAAGGTAATTTTAGGATTTGGATTGATGAAAATTTGAAAGGAAATGCAACTAATCGTATAAATAATTAATGTGATTAAACTTATGAAATGGGGTATTTATTAGAACCTCATATAGAGTTTTTAAATGTATATATTTATTTGATCTAGTTAACTTCAATTGAGATTTGGGGTGTTTTATTCGAAGAGAAAGAAACCAGAATTTCTAATCAAAATAAATTCAGAAATTGATGTACAAATTGATTGATAAAAATTATTAATAATATCAAAATAATAAAAAAAAGAAGATTCAAATAATCAATTAAAATAGCCTTTTTTGGTAAAATAGAATATTTAAACTAAAAAAAATGTTATTAAGTGTTTATAAATATTAATATTATTTTAAAATGACACATAATATGATGATTACTTGTAGACTCAATAGAGCAAATGATAACTCTATTTACGATATATCTCATAAAAGGATTTATAAGCCAATAGAATTAGAATTATAGAAAGATGGTGGATTTAAAGTTATTAAAAATTTATTTTAACATTAAGATAATGTAGAGGAAGATTTTGATCTTAGATAAGAATTTAAATTAGATGAAAAAAATATATTTAATGGAGGAATCCTTACTGAAAATTAAGAATTCAGATTTAATTAATCACGAAGATTGAATGAATCTAAGAGATTAAATTAAACATAAAATAATTTTAAAAATTAATCATAACCATTATAGATATAATAACATAATCACTTAGGTTTATTAAATGCTTTATTGTTTAATTGTAAAACACCTAATAATGAGCAAGAAAAATATATATATGATAATAATAGAATAAAAGTAATGATATGCATAACTATGTATTCTGAGAAATTATCAGAACTAATGAAATCATTAAATGGGATAGGAAAGAATCTTGACTATTTTTGTGATATGTATAAATAATCTATAAAATTAGTGGAATAGCACCACATTAAATAGGAGTGACTGTAATTTTTGATGGTATAGTAAATGTTTGTAATATACCTGGAGCTTATCGTGATAATATTATTCGTAATTATTGAATTTGTAAATTTAGCTTATTTCTAAAGTGAAATAGATAAAAAATATGGAATTGATCATCATAAGACATTGACTTATTAATATAATATGTATTCTGAATAATGGAAAAGATTTTAGGATTATAAACCTGAAAATATCAAATATTTAAGAGCTCATCCTGAAGAGTTATTAAAAAAATATAAAAAACACAGAGAAGCTTTAAAAAAAACAATGATAAGATTAAAAGGAGCTTAATATTGTTTTGTGGAATAAGATGAATATATAGAATAGAATATAGTAGATGCAATGGAGAATCAATATTAAAGGGCAAAGAAATATATTGAGAATAGAAAGAATTCTGCTTGGATATATTAAGATGCTATATAACATAAAGAATCTGAGGGAACAATGCCAATATTTTATACATTTAAATTTACAAATGGATCAAAATTGTCATCTCATATGTGGTTTTTTAAAGGTTTCTGTGAAGTATTTAAACCATAATATTGCGTATTAATGGATGTAGGTGCTTATCCAGAAAAAGATGCAATATTTTAATTAATAATGGCTATGGAATAAAATCCAAAGTTGGGAGGAGTTTGTGGAACTATGAGAGTTTAAATTGAAGAAGATGATAAAGATGATGTAGATTTAGATATAGTAACAAACATTCTAGTCAATAAAGTATTTTCAATATAGAAATGCTAATCTTGTGAATATGATATTGCACATTTACTTGATAAATAAGCAGAATCAGCACTTGATTTTATTCATGTTTTACCTGGGGCATTTTCTGCATATAGATATAAAGCATTTTTTGATAATTATATGAATCATGGTAATTAAAATTTACCTGTGTAAATACCATAAAATGATAGATAAGATAATAATAGATAAGATAAAATATTAGACAAATATTTGAAACAAGTCTTAGATTAAAATTATGAACATTAAACTTTATAAGAAGCTAATATGTTTTTAGCTGAAGATAGAGTACTTTGTAAATTACTTTTTTGTAATGGATATTATCTTAGATATATCCCAAATTCTTTTGTTTATGTAGACCCTTGTACTTCACTTAAATCATTGATTTTACAAAGAAGAAGGTGGATAAATGGATCATGGCATGCTTTGTCTTATATCTCTGATAATTATGATGAAGATTTAAAAAATAGCTAACATTCTTGGTGGGATAAATAAAAATTTATACTTTCTATTACCTAAGCTAAAATTTAATAACTTATGATTTATTTTATGGAAGCCTTTTAAGTTCTTTGGTTATATATGATTATGTATGCTATAGTAGATACAGGAGATCTTGGTTTAAATAATTTTATAATTTCAACAGTCATTGCTTTTTATGTATTTCTAGTATTTATGATTATTTATTTGTCTATTAATTACGATCCTGCTTTAATTAGATAATTAGAATCATAAGAAAGATAAAAAGTGGAAGCAGATTATTATTTTTCTAGACTATTTTTTGTATCGACATGTTTAGGATTTATCAGTCTTGGCACTGTTGTGTACACAGTCTATTTATTAATAACAGAAATATTCTTCAATTATGGATTCAATGATATAGTTGAAAAACCTTAAATTCCTTAAAGTTATTATTTAGTTCTTGTTGTTGTATCAATAGGAGCTATAGTTTTACCAATCTTATCATCAATTTGTCAATTGCCATAAAATATATTCAATGCTGCTTTAACAATGATTCCATACTTTTATTATCAACCAACTTATATGCATTTATTTGTCATATATTCATTTTGTAGAATTGATGATCTATCTTGGGGTACTAAAGGATTAACAAATACAGGTTCAAGTTCAGTCAATTCAGATAAAGCATTTTAAAAATTTAAGTTTTTATTAACATGGCTTGTATTGAATACTATCTTTACTGCTGTTTTGTTGGTATTATTTTAGATTTAAGTATACTTGCTTCCATAAGGACTAATTTTATTTATTTCAGTTATTTTAACAATTCTTACAATCATCAAAGGATTTTTGGCATTATGGTATAGGATTAAATTTTGTTTTATTGATGGTTCAATTAAATCTGATATTTAAAGTAAAAAAGGGCATAAAAATCAACAAAATGGATTTCTTGAAGCCAAAAATTCAATAAAATAAAATATCAAAGATAACAAAAATATAATTCAAATAATTAAAGATCAGAAAAACCAAGAAGCTCTTTAAAATAGTTATATAAGAGCATCAATATTTACGGCCTATTTAGAACATTATTATAAACAATCATTATAATTCTGATAATAGGTTGATATATTTATAAAATTATAATTATTATAACTCAATTATTAAAAGGGGAGGAATAATTGAATTAATTGTTGTTGTGGTTTTGAATCTCTGGCATTTAATTTAATTAATAACCATTTGTAGATTCATTATTTTATTAAATGTAAGCTTCTTTGATTTATCTTTCTCTTATAAATGAAAATATCAAATATATTGCAACACAAAAATCTAAAGCAGTAGTTATACAAAATAAAATTAATGATCCCCAATTGAATCTGTATATGTTTTCAGATAGCATATCTCTAAGATATTCTAATTAGATTTAGACATATTCATCTGAACAATTTCTCGAAATAACACTTTCTAAAAAATCACTTTCTATTTTAGTTCTACTAAAACTCTCAATTATAACATATGCTTATATACTCTAGAGAATAACTTTAGTAAATATTTCCATATAAAATATTTTGTTTGATTCTTCAGTTCCTTTACCTTTGATACAAGGCCAATCTTTTCCATCCAAAGTTTGACACTGTATGTAACTCCAAATTACAGAAATTATTAAAAAGTAAATTATTGAGATAATTGCGAGGTTTTTTTATGTTTACAAGATTTATTCTAATATATCTTATTAATCAATAAAATTATCAAATAATTCTCCTCTACAAGACATTTTCCATGAAATGTATCCTCTTGAATAAAGACCTTAATAAAATATAGAAATATACCCCATTAATATTATGATGAAATTTCATATCCTCGAAGTTTATCTTATAATTTAAGTTGATTATTAGATTCATAAAATTAAACTTCATTAGAAGTTAATAATTTAATAAATCTTCTATCAATTTGACATTCTGTTTTATTCTCTCTCATTAAAGGATATTCTGTTCTTCCATTAGTTATTCCTCTTTAATGATTCTTCATACAAATACCTTCTCCTTCAGATACTCTTACTTCTACTAATGGTAATTTATATTCACTATTTCTATTATATAAAAATGTTAATCCTTTTTCTGTTTATTCTGTTGCATTCAATATTTATTATGTAACACCTTAAAATCCAATTTCAAATACTGGACATTCTGGTTGAGTGGTACAGTAAAAGAAATCTTGATGATTTCCACATTTTAATTATCCTTATGGACATTCTTCAGATTCAGGTAAATGAGAATAGAAACTGTTGTCTTTCTCAAGTACAGCACATAATTTGAAGCCTTCTTGTGATTAAGGAGATGGAAATCTATTAAAATTAATTGGATTCTTAGCATAAATTGATATACATCCCCATGCTCTTTGTGTTATGTTACAAGCATGATTATTATATATCTTATTTCTTGGTATAAAAGTATGATGATTATTTGTTCGCAGACTCAATAATCTAAATGTATAACGACAATCACATCCATCTACAGTTCCAGGCCATCTGTAATTCACTAAATTTATTTCCTATTTTTATAATATTCATTACTTCAGAATTACATTAATCAAAACTCAATCGTATGGATTTAATTGGTTATTATTGCCAGTTTTCAATGATATATTTATAATTATCAAATGCATCACTATAGAAATAATACGACATTATTGACAATATCAAAAGTGTTGTACCTAACAAAAAAAAATACGTTTGGTAGATAGCTCTGCCTATTCGATTCTTAGGAGTTAAACTTGTGCCTTATCTATTTAAAACTTAATTTGGATCTTGATCTTGATTAGGTTCTTGATTCATATTATTATAAATTTCTATTTCAAATAATTAAGTTATTTATTAAATATAATTTTCAATTAAATTTTATCATCTCAATGAAACTTAATTTTGAATTGAATCCTAATAATTGTGTTACTTTATATGAGAGATAATAAAAATATTTAACAGACTATTGTATATCAAATGATTAAACAAATATTTTTGCTATTTATCATCCTAGAATTATTATTGGATGGAGAACTAAAGATCTTTATAAATTCTTTAATAAAACTTCTACATTAAATGAATTATCTAATATTGTTATCAATAATAACTACATATGTGTTGCTAGTTTTAAGTCATCAACTGTAATTGTTATCAATATATATTAAGAAAAAGAGGAAATTAATTTAAGACATCGAAATTCCTATATTCAATCCATTACCTTTAGTGAAGATTCTAAATATTTGTTTACCTTAAATTAAGATAAAATTTTAGCTATTTGGAATTACAAAAGAGAAGAGCTCTTAAGTCAAGTTAAATTGGAATAAAATTTTAGATATCTTATAATTAATTAACTAACAATTAAAACAACTATTCAATTGATTAATAAAAGTAAGATAATGAGAAGATTTCGTAATGAAATTAAAAATGATTTCAAATTTAAAGATTCTTAAATTTCTCTTTGCGATGATTTTTATTTAGAAATTTTAAAAAATGCTTCAATTTAATTAATTTCTTTGCAAACATAAAAAATAATTCGAAAAAAATAAAATTTACTGGGACTATCTTGTATTAATTTTATAAACAATAATAAATTTTTCTATATTATATTTCAAAATGGTAATATACTTTTATTTTAAACATCCACTATGAGATTAATTGGTATTATTAAAAATATATATAATTATACGAATATCTAAGTGACATATATTAAAAATAAAATTGCTATTTTAGGAAATAATTTATTTGGTTTGAAACTGTGGATAGTTCAATGAGAATTTACATTTTATATTTAGTGAATGGTTTTTACGAATAAATAATTATAAAGGTATATGCCTGATTTTGTTTTTAAAAATTCGAGATTTTATAATTTAGAAATATCAGGTCAACAAATAAATTAATAATATACATTATCATTTATAAATATATACATATTAATGAATAGAACTCAAAGTTGTCGAATGGTGCAAAGTAATAAATTATTAGAACTATTGAAAAAAAAGAAGAAAGCTGAGTCTCAAAATCCTAGTGTAAGTCCAAGGTAGTAATTGTCACCTCCAAGATTAGTGAAACTAAAATCTCCAAAATAATTAGATGTTTAGAAATGTATATAAATAAAGTATTAAACTAATTTAGTTGTAACAGCAGCTGTAAAACTAAAAGGAGTATCTCATATGAGAACCTTAAATAGTGATAGAGACAATTATGAACTTATAATAACACTGATAACTTCGGAAAAACAGTATATAGTGTTATAAAATAGGTATATTGTTCCAATAGGGCTTGATTAAACAACATCTGATCTTTATTAGAAATTAATAACTAAGATGAGTGTGCATGATCCTTAGAATTATGAAAAGATCTCTTATTTTTAAAGCTACACTTAAAATTACAATGTGGATTACTACTTGTCATTAGATGATAAACCTTTATCAGTGTTCAGCAATGGAAGGACTTTAAAATTGATTCCGATCTATTATAATGAAATTCAAAGTAATTCTTTTGATGATTATATATTGATCAAATGTATTGGTGTGGGGTAGAGATTTAAAATTTTGTAGAGGTTTTTCGAGAGTGTATATGGTAAAATCAAAAAAGAATGGACAATTCTTTGCAATGAAAATAATAGACAAATTGTTTATAACAAAAAACAATAAAGAGAGTATGATTAACAATGAGAAATTGATCATGAGTAATTTAGATAGCCAATTTTTAACAAGACTTCATTGTTCTTTTGAAACTAAATATTATTTGGTTTTTGTGATGGAGTATTTTAAAAATATATTTTTAGTTATTGTCATGGAGGTGAATTATTCTTTCATCTTAGAAAAATAGGAACTTTAAATGAAGAAGTTGCAAAACAATATTTTGTATAATTATGTTTAGCAATCTATTATCTTCATGAATAAAATATTATATATAGAGATTTAAAACCAGAAAATATTTTATTAGATATAGATGGTTATATTAAATTATCTGACTTTGGTCTTTCAAAACCAAATATGACAAAAGATAAATAAAGTTATTCTTTTTGTGGATCTCCTGAATATATGTCACCTGAAATGGTAACTAAAAGAGGACATAATTATATGTTGGATTGTTATAGTTTAGGTGCTGTATTATATGAATTTATATATGGATATCCTCCATATTATGATTAGAAAATGTAAAATATATTAAATTCAATTCAATTTGATAAATTAGAATTTCCTGAACAAATTAAAATTAGTGATCATTTAAAAAATCTTTTAATTAATTTATTGATTAAGGATTAAAATGAAAGATTAGGAAGAAAAAATGGTATAGAAGATATTTTGAATCATTAATGGTTGAATAATTTTGATTACACTGCTCTTTACAAAAAATAATTAAATATATACTACAAACCTTAACCACTTTAAATAAATTTTAATGCTGCTGAATTTAGTAAAGGTGATAGAGAATTTTAATAAAAGTTATAAGATAATTTGTATAGAGAAAAATAAACAAAGTTTGAATAAATATTTCCAAACTTCGATTATATATCAGATTAGATTAAAAATAAAAGAGAATAGTTTATAGAGAAGATTAAATATGCTAGTTTAAGATCTTCTTTATAAACTAATATCATTAAAAATAAGATTAAAACACTTTCTTTAAATTGTATGTTCTTATTAATATATTTTTAATAGCCCCTTAGCTAAGTGCAATATGTCCAAGATTTTAATCAGTAAAGAACTCACAAATAGCATAATCTTCTTCTACTTAATCTTTTAGGAATTCTTCATCCAGTAAAAGATTCAACACTGAATATGACCTTTAGAAATTACTAAAATTTAAACAATGAAGATAAATTATTTGTTTATATATTTTTAAGTAGATGATTATTAGTTCTGAATGTTTGAGAGTATATTTCTAAAAAATCTGTATTTCTTAATTATATAATAATTAAATATGTAGTAAATAGAAGAAAAATGGTTAATATGCGCTGATCCTGATAGTTGTTAGATCTATACATTGAACATTAATACAAATGAAGTGAGATTGGAGCATGATGTGGATTAAGACTATCGATAAAAAGCATTATAAGCAATCTAACAAATAGAGCAAATACTGAAATTAAAGACTGGTACATTAAAATTGTAGATTGAAAGGTACTTGGTTGATGGCTTCAAAACAGATTGATTAATATAGAAGAAGGAAGATACCGTCTTACTTGTTGCATAAATAGTCTTCTTCAATTCCAACATATCTATGTTAATCAACTTTAAGTTAGGCATTTGTGAAAGTAAATTCAATAAAACTCTAAGTTAAATTGAATCAATATAGAGAATTATTCTAAAATATGATAGGAGAAGCTTAATATGGTGAAAAACCTAATATAGTTGAGATTGAAGCAGGATTGGTAACAGGAGCAGATGAAGTAATAAAGAGTGTATTGAGAGAAGTATATTAAAGATTCAACAAGAAATTAAAACCAAAGGATGAATAAAATTAGTTTATATTACAAATTTCTGGTTTTAAAGAGTTTTTAACAGGGAATCATCCAATGTTATCATATGATCGAGTGAGAGTATAATTAAGAGGAATGAAACATTTAGAAGTAATATTAACAGAGATACCAAAATAATCAAATTAAACATTTCTATTCCCTCCAATAATTCACAGAATAAAAGGAAGTGAACCTTTTCCATAAATAGATTGGACTAAATTTAGAGATGTTCCTGCTTTATTATGGTATTCACCTCATGTATTACCAAAATATGAATCTGAAATTGGAAATACTCGATTATCTGTTGGAGTTATACCTACACCTTAATTGAAATTTGATAAAATTAAAGTATCAAATAGTTAAGATTTATTCTCAAATATTGAAGATAAAGTCAAAAGAATATCTATTGAAGAAAATCCTACACGTCCTACTTTTCAAGATTCCATATCCAAAAAAAAAAATAGCGGATAAATATATGATTTAATTTCAATGAGAAATGAATTACAAAAATTAAATATGTTGAAAATTGAATAAAATGTTCTCTATTCTGGTGAATGTGATTGGCCTTTCAGTGTTAAGATTTGCTCTCTTGAAAATTTATTATAAACACTTGAATAAGATAATAAATTTGAATTGTAATAATAAAGAGCAACATATAATGGATTAATACCTCCATTATATATTACAAAAAAGAATGCTGGAACTAAAGTTGAAGAAGAATAACACAAATAAAGTAATAAGAAAAATGATGAATCTGACACTAACAATACTAAAAGATAATAAGTTCATCTTAAATTACATAAAAGAACTGGACGTGTTTTGGATCCTAAAAATAAAGATATTAAAAGATACATTCCTTTTGGAGGTTAAGATAATCTAGATGAATTAGCTACTTTATAAGAGAGATATGATTTAGATTTTCTACCTTATCTTATTTCAGTTTAGGTTAGCTTATTTCATGGAGGTAAATAACTCACTCCTTGGTGTTAAGCAGAAACTAAAAAATAACCATTCAGTTAATGTCCTAAATTTTATTAGACTATTACATTTTAAGGCATTAAAATATCTTAATTACCTTAAGAAGCTAGATTATGTTTTAATATTATTGCTCATAGTGCTACTGGATAATAATAAATTATTGGATGTACAACTATGTATATATTTTATGAAGAAAGAAAATTTAGATCATCTATTAATCAATTAAATATTTGGCCATTTTATAAAATTGATCCCAGATTACTTTGTATGGGATAATATTGGGGATGGGTAAGATAACAGAATCAATAATTGATTACTCCTTAACTTATTACTAAATCATATGGGAGATTATTAATTCAATTAGATTAATTTAATTAGACTATGAAATGGAGTCTAAGAGATGAAAAATAAATGGAAGAATTAGGTTTTTCTAAATCTGCTAGATCATAAAGATATTATGAAATGAGAAATAAATTTATTCCAAATTCTGATTATTCAAATTATCAGTAATCCTAATCTTCTGCTTTAACATAAGATCAATTTAATTCTGCTTATCAAAATACAAATAAAAATTCATCATATTAATAAATAAATTCAAATTCATAATCAAATAGTTTTAGTAATTCACAATTATTTTTAAAAAAACAAAGAACAGGAATGACATCTTTTTATAATGTACATTAAAGATAACATACAAATCCTTATGAATAATATATGTAAGTTGGATATTCATCATAAGATTAAGGCACAATTCTACGTTTTGGAGATATGTAGGATCGATAGACACATTTTGCATAATCAATGATGCATATGAATTAAGGTAGTAGTTTTAATGTACATGATTAATCAAGTACATAATTAAGTACTTTTAAATTAAGTCATTAATTTTCTCAATAAAGTATATAATAAAATTAGAGCTACTAAGAGAATTACAATTAAGTTTTTCCTTATAAAAATTGGTCTACAACTCCAAGAACAGAAGATTTGGCTATATTGTAAGCATTATTAAAATACAATCCATTGAATAGACCTTATTATACAGATCAGCATAAATATATATTAATGATTTGTAGAAATCATTATAAAACATTGCCATATGCATTATAAATATTTTTAATGGCTATAGAATGGGATGATCCTGAATAAGTAAGAGAAGCTCATAATATGATAAAATTATGGACACCATTACCACCAGAGGATGCATTGCCATTATTGGATGCTTAATTTGCAGATGAAACAGTTAGACTTTATGCTGTTGAGAGAGTAAGTATATTATCAGATGATGAATTACAATTATACATGTTAGAATTAACTTAATGTTTGATGTTTGAGAAACATCTATTCAATCCATTAGCCGAGATGTTATTAGAGAGAAGTTTACAAAATCCTTGGGTAGTAGGACATGAATTATTCTGGCTATTAAAAGCTTAATTACATGTACGTCCCTCTTATGAAAGATATTCATTATTGTTAGAATAATTATTAATGTTATGTGGAGAATTTAGATAATAATTAATGAATGAAGTACTTGTAGATAATGAATTGTATAATATTGCATAAAAAATTAAAGAAGACAATGTACCCAAAGATTAACGTTAATCATTATTAAATGCTGAATTAACTAAACTTTATCCTAAACTTCCAAAACCTTTTTCATTTGCTTTAGATTCAAGAATGGAAGCATAATCAATCTAATATGATAAATGTAAAGTTATGGATTCTAAAAAAATGCCATTATGGCTTGCAGTTATACCTAAATGTCTTGAAAATGATGATGAATTATAATTACAATAACCTAAATAAATCAAATAATAAGAAGAAAATTTTAATGGAAATTTCTCTGTTATCATACCACAAGATGAAAATTTACACCATAATCCTAAATAATAATTAGATTAAAAGGAATAAAAGGAATAGATTGAAGAAGAAGAACAAAATAAATAACATTTACTCTAAATTATATTTAAAACTGGTGATGATATTAGATAAGATATGTTAACACTATAATTAATTAAAATTATGGATAAAATATGGTTAGATGATGGTTTAGATTTTAGAATGAAACCATATAAAACAATTTCAACGTAGGATAATGTAGGAATGATTGAAGTTGTTAGTAATTCTTTGACTATTGAAAAAATTCATGGTTAAGGTGGTCTTATGGGTGCATTTTAATAAAAAACTATTTGGAACCATTTGAAAAAAAAAAATAGTGAACCTTAATCATTTGAAACAGCTACTGATAATTTTCTAAGATCTTGTGCTGGATATTGTGTTGCTACCTATGTTTTAGGAATTGGAGATAGACATTCAGGTAATATAATGATTACTGATACTGGTCATCTATTTCATATAGATTTTGGACATTTCTTAGGAAATTTTAAATAGAAATTTGGTATTAAAAGAGAAAGAACTAAATTTGTATTAACTGAAGAGGTATTTCATACTAATTTAATATTAGATGGCATTTGTTATGGGAGGTAGAGATGGAGATTTATTTAAAAAGTTTTAGTAAGATTGTACTAATGCTTATAATTTAGTAAGAAAGCATGGACATTTTCTTATAAATATATTTTTAATGAATTTATCTGCTGGTATGCCTGAGTTGTAGTAGGCTTCTAATATTAAATATATAGAAGATTAATTAGCTTTGAATATATCTGATCAAGAAGCAACAGCCAAATTTAAATAAGAGATTATCATATCTCTTAATGACACTTGGAGATAAATTGACAATTGGTTTCACTATATTAGAAGAAATTGATTATTTAATAAAATAATATACTCATTTCAATTTGGTAATTATGTGTTAAATGTTTTAATCTTCTGATTCAAATGACTAAATTTATTCTTAAAGCTCATTCAATTCTAATTATTTATATGACAATAGAATTTATCTAAAAATTGCAACTCTTTTAAAATTCTATTAAGTATAGTTCTCAAGAGTATGTTGTGTTAGTTTTATGATGGCCTATTTGATTTTATCTTTTGATGATATTTTTTTTCTTATTTATTCATTTTAAATTAGTGTGAATAAAAGATGACTAAACTAAAATAATAACAAAATCAAATACATTATATTTGCTTCTTTCATAATTTTCATTAATTTCACTAAGCTAGCATAATTTGAGTATAACAGGTATGAGTGCAAATTAATAATTGAATATAAGTTTTCTCATATTTTATAATTGAATGTTGCTATTTTTTCTCATCAATACTAAACCTTTAACAATGATATCTGCAACAATTTTTTTATCATATTAAGAAAGCTATTTAAGAATTAAATCAAGCAATTCAAAAAATCTCTTATTAATAGACTTTTCTGAGCATTTATGAATATAAGTAATTAATGTTTCACAACATTATTTCATATTATCAACATGTTCTCCTAAATCTCCTTTTTGTATTATTTGGTGTATTAATTTACAAACTCTATTAATGTACTAAATTTTTTAAGGATTCTTGAAATCACTAATCATTTTAATGAATGGGTAAATTCTTTCAATAAAGATTGAAGGATTTTTAGTGTTTGAAACAAATATCTCAACTAATTCAAGAACTCTTGATTTGAATTCCACAACCTTTTTCTCTTTTTCTTTCTAAAGAAAAACATAAATAAAATATTTATACAATAGTGGCAATGGAATTAGTATTTGCTTTGGATAATGTTTTAATTAAATCATCATTTAAATCTTCTTACAGCAATTCAATTTCTTATTCTTAGAAATCTGGTTAAGGAGGAATAACAGTGAGTTTGGATTTTTTTTATTATTTAGCCATAATTAATATATTATATTGTATCAAACTTAGAAGGATTTTAGATCATCTGCAACTGTTAATTCAAATCCTGTATTGGCTCTAACCCATTCTAGAGTAGTATCACTAGCAATTTCAGTTAAAACCAATTTACCATCTCTCTTAACAAATACAGCCTTGTCTAAAATCATAAATATATTGAATACCTGTAATAACTTGACTAACTTTGTTCATGCCTGTTGCTGGATATTATAATTCTTTAACAAATTTAACTTCTCCTTTAGCAGTATGCTCCATAACAACAAGTACTTTTGATCCAGATGCAACTAAATCCATTGCTCCTCCCATTCCTTTAACCATCTTTCCTGGAATGACCCAATTTGCAATATCTCCTTCTTTTGTAATTTACATAGCTCCTAATACTGTCATATCTAAATGTCCTCCTCTAATTATTCCAAATGATTCACTGCTTTCAAAAGTTGTAGCACCTGAATTCAAAGTGACAGATTCTTTTCCTGCATTTTAAAGATCTCCTAATTCATGACCTAATTTAGGATATGGACCAACTCCAATTGCACCTATTTCAGTATGAAAATGGATTGTCATGCTTTAATCAAGAAAAGCAGGTATTAGTGTTGGGATTCCAATACCTAAATTGACATACATTCCATCCTTGAATTCTTATGCTGCTCTCTTTGCAATTCTATTTCTTGTTGCATTAAGTTTTCCTTATGGTTTGATATCTAGAAATATAGATATTATTGAGTACCCTTATGTTTATCATACACACTTTAATCATAGACAAGTCTTTCAACAGTCTTAAGATAATTATTTCCTTAATAGAGATAGTCAACATAGATTCCATTGACATGTGCTTAATCAAAACCAAAGCTTCCTACTGGTACGATAGTATCAACTTCAGCAATGACAACTTTTGCTGCTTTGACCATGTCTTAATTGAAATTTCTAGCTGTTCCAGCAAATCTAAGATTACCATTGGTATCTGCCATATTAGCCTTAATCAAAGCATAATCTCCCCATATAGAATCTTCTCTAATGTACTTCTTTCCATTGAAATATTCAACCTAAAAAAGTCAAATAAAAAGATTTACAGGTTTAGGTTTGGATTCTATTTCTACAGAATCTCCACCCTTATGATATTTTATAGGTATTCCTCCTTTCTCTACAACAGTATCTGTTCCAGTATGTGTATAAAATGCAGGAATACCAGCACCAGCAGCTCTTAATTTTTCAGCTAAAGTGCCTTATGGTACTAATTCTAATTCCAAAGTCCCATCGAAATACTACCTAAAACGATCCTATATTTCTATTACTTAGCAAGATTGTGATTTTCTCCTGCATATGAAGCAATAACTCTTTTTAATTATCCATTATTTAGAAGTAATCCTAATCCAAGATCAGTTGTGCCACAATTATTGCTGACAACTGTAAGGTTCTTAGTGCCTGCTTCTTTTAAAGCATTGATGCTGCATTCTGGAATACCACATAATCCAAATCCTCCAACAAGTACTGTTGATCCAGCTGGAATTTATTTCACGACTGACAAGTCCTTAATAATGCGGACATAATATCTGCCTATGTGAGTTAATGAGGATATTGGTTTCACGTACATTAAATTTTATTAAATTAATATCTCGATAGTTTTCAGAGGATATGAATAATGATTATATTGCGTAATAATATATAAGGTTTTAGATCTTATTTATAATATATATTTTAATAATTATTATAAAAATTATAATAATTAATTTATGTTTTTTAAATTCATCATTTCTCTTATTATTTCTTCATTTGTTTTCTTCTTCTTCATCACTTCCCTTTGATGATTCTGCATCTACTTCCTCAATATCATCAAAGGCATCATTAATTTTAACTCCCAAATAATACTCCAACGAATAAGGAATAATTTCATCAATTATCATACGAGCAATATCATAATCAATATCCATACGCTCAGCATATTTATCTAATTTATTTTCTTAAACCCATTTTTCTATTTATTCTTTATCTTCTAAATTTATTGGTTTAAAAAAAATAAAAAAGCTTTCTGCATCTACTTCCTGAGAAATTGTTTTCACTATACCACTCTTCTTTTCCAATTATTTTTTCTTTATTAATTTTCTAGTCACATTTTTACCATCATTCCACTCAATAATAGTTCCTTCACTTTTTACTGGATTCTCACCATCTATATATATTATTTAATCATTAACCTTTCAAAATAAATTTCTTCTTCAATACTGTATTTTTGAAATAATCATTAGGAGCAAAGTAAAAATTTAATGAAAAATTATCACTCTTCTCTTATGGTTCATATTCAATCTTTGTTAAAGATTTTAATATTGGATCATCTCTATCTTTTATTTCTTAAGCTATAATATCAGAATTCTTTAGAGCTTTAAACCAATAACCATTAATTGGCTCTGCTGTCAATGCTTAATTCTTTTATGTTGCTTCCTCTCCTTCTAAATAAAAATCAACATCCTTCAATTCTTCTTCTGTAAGCAAACGTGTCCCTTCTATTATTTCATTTGACTATCTGTTATTTCATCATATCTACTGCTTTATATATCTTTGCTGCTTTTTCATCAAATTGAATCTAAAGTTTTTTCATCTCTTTCTCTAATTCTATATCCAATTTCTTTTTTTGTTACAAATAATAATTCAATGCCACTGCTTTCAACTTCTCCTTCAGTGGCAAAGCTTTAATTTTCTTTTTTATTTCCTCAGGATTCTCAGCCACTTCGATGATGGCAGGATTTTATGCCATTATTTATAATTACAATTATATCAAATTTTTCAGAAAACTCTTCCATCTACTTCTTTAAACAACTAAAAATTATTAAATTAATCTGAAGAATCTATCAATATATGAATATATAAAATCCTCATTGATATTTCCTGTTAGATGTAATTTTATTAGATCACTTTTCCTATATTATGGATTATTATGCTATTCTTTTTTCCATCTGGTTTTACATTATCTCCCCAATTAGAAATTATTTTACTATAGTTGCCAGTTATTTATTAATTTTATAACCCATTTATTTTATAAATCTATTTTTTCAATCTTATAATTTCAATAGTTATTTTATGTTCTTTTTATGTTCTTTTTCTATTCAAATAATTTTTATAAAATATCACTCAGCTCCCATAAAAATCACTAAACTCAATTCTTTAACTTAATCAATAGTAACAGATCTAAATTAAATATGTTTTTGATTTTCAATAGTAAAGAAATTAAACTTAATTACAATATACTTTATTGAGTTGATTTTTATGATTAGTTAATTGAACTATAATATTCAGGATTTTTTATTAATCGGTTCTAAAAACCTAAAATTATATGAGATAAGATTAATTCATAAAATCTAAAAAATGGTCATCAAAAGGAATCGAACTTGTTTAAAATTTATGTATAATCAATAATATGAAGGTAGGATATCTAACTATGATTGATTTTTTATGGAAAAAGATTGATTTTTCTTGAGAGAAATGTAAGTATTTCACTTAAATATAAAGAGATTTTGAGAAAGATGAAGAAAAAAAGATCTTTTAAAAATAAGAAAATTTTGGTTTTTAAAAAATTGAAAATTTTTGGTAATAATTAATTGGCGCTTTCAATATAATTTCGCGGATAATAATTAAATTATGTAAGAAACACACGAACAATAGGTTTAAAATAGGTTTCTCCACTTTTTACAGGAGTTTAGAACAATAAACCCCTATACAGGATAAAATGTCTATTACTACCAAGAGGAAGCTCGTATAATGAGAGATAATGATCGTACTACATTGAATTTGGATTTCACTCATATAAATTTGACGGATGGATATTAGGATCTATCTATAATTATGCAATCAGACTTTTATCAATATGAGCCAAGTTTTAGAAGAGCTATTCAAGAGTTTATGTTCATATAGCATTAAGATGTTGAAGATTAATGTAAATGTTGATATAAATAAATTTAGAAAAGCTCTACTTTTTAGCAGTTTTTAACTTGCCTGCAATAGAAAAGATAAGAGAATTAAAGGCAAACAAGATTGGAAAATTAACTTCATTTATAGGGACAGTAACTCGTACATATGAAGTAAGACCAGAATTGTTGTCAGCTTAATTCAGTTGTTAGATGTGTGATAGATTAATAGACAATGTTGAACAACAATTTAAATTTACAGAACCAAAGAAGGTATAGATGATGATAAATAAAATATTAGTGTCCAAATACAAAGTGTGATAATAAATCAAAATGGACAATAAATCTAAATAAATCATAATTTACAGATTTTTAGAAGGTGAGAGTATAAGAAGATTCAAAAGAAATCCCTGCTGGTTCGATGCCTAGATCAATAGATGTCATTTTACATAATGAGAAATGTGATGCTGCAAAACCTGGTGACAAATGTACATTTAATGGATATTTAACTGTTATTCCTGATGTGTTTAGTTTAAGTAAACCAGGGTTAAAGTGTTCTATGTCAACATAGAATTAAGGAAATAATTAAAGGGGATAAACATAAGATGGTATAACTGGATTGAAATAATTGGGTGTTAAAGATCTATGTTATAAGTTTGTATTTATAGCTTGCAGTGTAGAAACAAATAATGATAGATTTAACTCTTAGAAATCAACAATAGATGATAAAGAATATACAGAGAGTTTGGCTGATTAGGATGCAAAGAGAGGGCAATAATTTGATGATATTGAAAAATTGGAAATTTTAGAAATGAAAAAGTAGCCAGATCTTTTTAAGAATTTAGCAAATTCGATAGCACCAGCAGTATAAGGATATGAGGATATAAAAAAAGGAATTTTATTAATGTTAATGGGAGGAGTGAATAAGACAACTAAAGAAGGAGTTCACATAAGAGGAGATATAAATGTATGTATAGTAGGAGATCCATCAACAGCAAAATCATAATTTTTAAAATTTACTTGCAATTTATTACCTAGATCAGTTTATACATCAGGTAAGGCTTCAAGTGCAGCAGGTTTGACAGCCTCAGTACATAGAGATGTAGAAAATGGAGAATTCTGTATTGAAGCAGGTGCATTGATGTTGGCAGATAATGGAATATGTTGTATAGATGAATTTGATAAGATGGATTCTAAAGATTAAGTAGCAATTCATGAAGCTATGGAATAATAAACTATATCTATTGCTAAGGCAGGTATCTAAGCAACTTTGAATGCCAGAACATCTATATTGGCTGCAGCAAATCCAATTTTTGGTAGATATGACAGATCTAAAACTCTAAAATTTAATGTCAATATGACTCAACCAATTATGTCTAGATTTGATTTATTCTTTATTATTACAGATGCTTGTAGACCATTTGTAGATGAATAAATTGCAACACATATTGTAAGATTGCATAGTCAATAAGAAGGTGCTATTGAACCAAGATTTAGTTAAGATTAACTTAGAAAATATATTAAATATGCACGTACATTTAAACCTATTTTAACAAATGAGAGTGCTTAATATTTAAAAGAAGCTTATATTAGATTAAGAGAAAATGATCAAACAAGTTAGAGAACAAGTTATCGTATAACAGTGAGATAATTAGAATCTTTGATTCGATTATCAGAAGCTTTAGCAAGAGTCTAATGTGATGATGATATAAAAATTACCTATGTTTAAGAAGCAGAGAAATTATTGGGACAATCTATTCTGTAAGTAGATGAAACACCTAAATTTATTGATGAAATTGAAGAATAATAACCTATACCAACTAGAGCTATGGGAATTATTGAGGAAGAATTATAGTAGAGAGAAAAAGAAAAAAAAAGATAAGGATAGAAAATTTAATTGGCTTAAGATGAATATTTAGATATTGTAAGATCAGTAACATCATTTATGATTCAAAAGGAAAGAGAAATGTAAGAGGAAATCACAGAATCTAAAGGTGTTAAATGGGAAGATTTAACTGAATGGTACATTGTTAACAAATTAGATTAAATTTAACATGAAGAAGAAGTTCATTAATATGAAAGATTGGTTAGTGCTGTTATTAGATAAATGATCAATAAAGAGAAGATTTTAGTTGTTGTTAATGATAATTTAGATTAGAATCTTCGTGAATTAGCACTACACCCTAATGTACCTAGATGATTATTATTAACTTTATAAATATTTAAAAATTATTTATATCTTCAAATGGCTGAAAGTACTACAGCAAATGTCAATTGGGCAGAGATCTCTGATGATGAAGAAATTGTTCCACAACATCCATAAGAAACATAAAATTAAGAAATTTAACCCTAAGATGTCAAATAAGAATAACCATAAGAATTAAATAATGAACAAAAGAAATAGTCAAAAAAACCATATTAAAAGCATCATAAACCAGAATGGGTTAGGCTCAAAGAGTTATAAAAGAAATAGGCTGAACAAATTTAAAAAGAATAACAAGCTTAATTAGAAGCTAGAAGAATCAAACCAAGTGTATTCAATATTTATATTTCCATAGAAAAATAATTTCCAAGGACTTATGAATGACAGTGATGAAGAGGAATAAAAACCTCAAGAAACTACCTAACCTGAAGAATAAACTCAAACCTAAGAATAACCTAAAGAAGAATAAATTGATTAATACCAAAGTAATTTTATAAATTTAAACTTAGTCTTGAAACAAAGATAAACATAAGAAGAAAAATAATAATAATAATCAAAAAAGAAAGATTAAAAGAAAAAAGATAATGAAGATTTAGATGCTATTTTAAATGAATTAGGATTCACTTAAAAAGAATCTCAATAAACTGGAGATTAAGAAAAAAAAAAGAAGAAAAAGAATAAAAATAAAGATGCTGATAAATAACCAGTTACCACAGAAAATAAGCCAGAATAATAACAATAGTAATAATAACAATAACCATAACAATAATAATAATAGAATGAAAAAGTTGACATCAAAAAGGTTTTAGCAGAAAAAGCCAAAAAAACACAAAGCGGTTCTCATCAAGTTGATAAAGTATTATTTAATTAATAATTTTAGGACTTAGAAAGAGTGAAATAAGAAATTGAAAAGAGAAATTAAAAGTCTAAGAAAAATAAGAAATAAGACTTAGATCTTTGATTTGGTAAATTGATAAATAATACATTAAATAATAGTATATATAATTTTATATTTTTATTAACGAATATCTTATGAACTTAGAAAAGCATGCAAAAGCACTTATTGAATATCCTGCAAGCTCTGATGATGATGATTATCCCAATTATAAAATGAAGGCCTTAAAATATAGAAAAGATTATCATGAATCATATGATAAAATTTAAAAACTTAAGCTAGAAAATTAAGACAATGTAATTATTATTATAAAATTAGAAATAAATGATATCTGGTTTGCTAGAAGATTTAGAAAATTATAGAAAGAGAGTGAAAACATTGGATTAACAATTATTGAATTAAAAATAATTAACTCAAGATTCATAAGAACAATTAAGAAGAGTCAAATAGTAAAAATAGGAGGAAAGGTTGTTAATGGAATAAAAATAATTTTAGGAAAAACTAACTTTGCAAACCAATAATGCAATAGAGAAATTAAGATAACATTTTGACTAAACCTTATAATAATTAACCCCTAAAACTGATAATAGAAGATGATATTCATAAATTATTATTATGTTATGATATCACGATAATGCAAAATGATGTTTTCTTAAATTATTTGCTTACTATTAATTTAATGTATTAGGTTTTCCTATCAGCGGTCGATGTATATCATGAGTTTATGAAATTAAATCTCCTTTAGTCTATCCAAGGTTAAAATGATGAGATCTTAAATTAGCAGTTGCATGTGGATCCAACCTATTTGGTTATCCTTATTATTAATTCATTGCTTCAACTTATTTAGTGGTCATGAAAGTATTTTTGCTTACATTATCATTCAAACCGAAATGAGAAGATCGTAAGTCTTTTAAGAGTTTATCAGATAATTAACCAGGTTACCCTGATGGGTTCTTAAAACTTAAAGATAAATTTAATAAAATACTTTGATTGCATTTCTGATCTATATGAAATGTTATCTGTTCCAACTTTAAAGTTTGATCCTCTATCCATTAATTAATCTCTTGCCTATGAACTTAACTATTATTCAGGAGGTTTCATTGTTGAATTGTAGAAAGTTTAAGTTTTATGATTCATAAATCTAGGATCTCCAATAGTGAAATGACTTCCTTATAAGGCAGCAGTGTTGTTGATATAATTAACTTTATTTTCTGAATATGGTCTGAAATGTGACATTTATTCAGATTGATATGGTTGGTTATCTTTTCCTAAAGTAAAATGAGTTGCTAAAACAATTAAAATTAGTTTAACCTCTAAGATTTTGTCTATTTTCTTCAGCAAATGGATTTGAAGTTACTTCTTGCTGATGGAAGAATTCTTGATTCATGGTTTTAAAATCAGGATTAGCATTACCAAAATTAAAATGAGTTGACTAAAATCCAGGTTTAAAGGATGCTTATGCTCCTCCTTCTTTTTTATTATAGTCTTCTTACTAGGCTGTTATCATGGGAACTTACTAATAATAATTTTGGTATGTATTATTTACCTCTTTTCCAAGGAATATATTGGAAACTCTAAGTTGTCTTGCTCTTTCGGCTAAATCTTATTTTGGCTCTAACTATTACGGTTAATATTATTAATTATAATTGGTTTGCATCATCTTATGAGAGCTTTCAGCGAAATTATGATGATGTGATCTCATTTTATTTTTTTGTACTCATATTTAGGATAAATGCATTTTACTTTCTTGCTCATTTTATAATCCTGGCTGGAGTGGTTTTTCATTATATGTTGCTCTTGTAATTGATACTTATTAAGCCTATTGATGACCAAGTACAAAATGATTTGTCCTTAAGTCATTTTTTTTTTCTTCATTCAAAGTAGCCGGTTCACCAATTTGCTTACCTTAAAAATCAGTCTTAAAAATAGTGTTATATGAAGCTAGAGTATATAAATTCAAACTTTACGTTTAGATTCTCCTAAATGAAAATGAACACCTCTTAGATTCAATTAATCTCCCACTCCAGTGGCTTAATTATTTACTTAATCCCCTTTGAAATTCATTTTCATTGTTGAAGTGAATTAATTCTCTAAAATTATGATGTATAATCTAGATACTTTAGTCAGTTTATCCTAATTAGAAATGGCTACTCCTCAACTGTTGCATAAAAAAAATATATATAATTATATTAATCATCTGCTTAATTGTTAAAGTTCGATTTCATCAAATTACATATCCTGATTAATTAGAGGAAGAGTTTAATTTGCCATCACTTCATCTGTCAAATTATCATACATATCCTTTTTGTAGGTTTCTTGTAAAAACCTAAGATATTCTTATTAATATTAATACACACCATGTCAGGCCAAGAGCAAGTATTGCCATTAAACCAACTATTGTAATTGCACTTGCTTATTGATATATTTCCTACACATAAGACACATACAGAGGTGCAAAAGTACTTCCAAGTTATCCAAAGGTCATACAAACTCCGTATCCATATGATCTAACTGATGTTACATAAGCTTCTCCTGTATAAGTATTAAGCATTGAATTATAAATAGTAATGCTTGCCTTGATCAATATGGCACTAAGTAAATGAAGAATTTATTGCCAACATAACGAACCTTAACATTCTTGAGGAATATCTATATAAGCTAATGTGGCACTCAAAATCATTGTCAATAGACAAAACTATAATGATATTATTCTTGGGTATTTCAACTTAAAATATACTATATTATTAAATAAATCTTACAGCTTGACATCCCAGTCATTAATTCAACAAGAGCCAACATCCTCAATGTAGTAGTCATTGATATACCAAATGTTGATACTGAAAATTATAGACCATAATATGTGAAATATCTTAAAAACCACATTTAAACTAATATTGATGTTTATATTAGTAACTTTGATCTCTTTAATAATTCCCAATATCCTGCTGACTAATTTGTATGTTAAATTAAATTAATTTATGTATCCACTCTCTTTACCGAAGCCAACTTAACACATCTATTATTAAATTTATCTAATTCTTCCATGAAATTAAATTCAAAAGGTCTCCTTTTATTAAATATACTCATAAATCTAAACACTTTTCTGCATTCATCATATTATTATTTTGAAATCAACCATCTTGGTGATTCAACAAAATAAAAGTAATCCAATACTACTGTTACTAAAAGTGGAACACCTATGCTCCACATCATCAGCGATCTCCATGATTAAAATATATCTACTATAAATGGATATATAAGCATTGAAGAACTCCAAATCACTATTAATAATGAACTTGCTATTGATCTAAATCTTAGTGCACTTATCTCATTTATGTAAACATAAACTACAGTCTCATATCCACTCAATCCAAAACCTGCTATGAAGAAAAGTGTATATAGAGATAATAAACTATTGCAAAGTGATCCAACAAATATTGATACTGAACCTAAACTCATTCCAAATAATAAAATTTTTCTTCTTCCAAATATATTTGCCAATATTGGAAATGTAAACCCTCCAAACATTTAACCAACAAAAAATAATGCTGCTATAAATGCTTTCCTACCATTACAAAATAACCCAAATTCTTTTGCTATACTATCAAATCCAATTAAACTATCTATTCTATTATTACAATTAGGATATTCGATACAAATTCCATCAGTACAATATTTTGATGGATTTTATAATAAATACGGCATACCCATTACAAAAAAGGAGTAAAACAAAAACTATATGCATAATAATAATGTGATCCTCTATTGATATTTCGAATTGTCTCCAACATACTCAAATGCTTAATCCAATGTAACAAAGGCTCTTTTCATGTTATAAGCTTCAAATGCAGGCTTCTTGTACTTTTTATTTTGAAGTAGTTCAAGCTATTGCTTAAATTAGTTTTTAATTGAGTTTATCATGTAAAACAATTATTATTTATTGGAGTAATTTCAATAAAAACATTCAAGATTCTTTAAAGTCAATCCTATTTTATAGATTCAAGAATTTCTATCATTATTTTACATATAATAACATAAGCTGTAAGCTTGAGTTATAATTTTTAGTCAACATAAAACTGAATTTATTTTAAATGTAATTGTTTTATTAGATATAATGAGTTTATAGTGTTTTTTAAAATCTGAATAAAAGAAACTTAATGATTTAATGATAATTAACATTATTGATTATATTTTAGATCTCTTAATATTAATAAAGAATCAATAATATATACTGAACAGAAATAAAGGAAAAAAGATTAAAAGAATGCCACAATACTAAAATACTCTTTCATAAAATCAAATTACAACCATTCAAATAGATTTCATTCAAAACCAAAACATATGATGAATATTTATGATAATTTGCTATTTTTAATCCATAAATGAGGAATTTTTCAAGTTATATACGATTATCTACAATATTTTTCATTAATTTATTAAAATAAAATGAAGTCCAAAAAGTTAATCAAATTAGATTCAATATTTTAAATAAGTTTAAATAGAAGAAGTAAAGAAATATTTTGAGTCTATTCCAACATGTATATGATTCAAGCATAAGCCTTCTAAAAACTATTATTATTGCAAATAAAAAGTAACAGATAATATGGTTTATGAACTATTATTAAAATTCATTGCAAAAAAATTCTTCATAAAATGATTTCATTATGTAAATTTTAATCGTATATAGATAATTAAACTGAAAAATCTATTTCTCATATCCATCAATCTTAATCTCCCATTCCTATTCTCTCTAAACCTAACTTAGATTTAAATCCCATTAGACAGTGAATCGTTTTATACCAATTGGAGAAAGAGAACCTTTAAAAGTTCTTGTGCTTTAAATAAATATTTTCTAGATTAAGGAAATTTAGATAAGCTTTTAAGTCAACTCCATAATCTCTAAACTCAGTTTTCTAACAAATTTAAAGTTCATTTTAAAAATAGATTCCTTTATCAATAGATTAATTCACTATAGTATCGATCATTTAGATATGGATTAATTTTCGGTTTGGTCTTTTAATAATTTTTTTTATTAATAATAGAAATTTAAATGATCTTAATTGAGCTGATAAAAAATCACTCTTGAATTCAGTCTATTAACCTATCATGACAATCTAATGTTAATACTGGTCCTTTATATCAATAATTTGATTTATTTCTATTCATTAAACACTGTCTTCAAATTTTCAGCAAGTTCTTATGATGTCACTCTGATTCTAATTATTATTTAACAGAAATTATATATTATAAGTATTTTTTACTAATTTTTCAATTTCTATTCAAGCAAAAAGATTCTTTTAAAAAAATATTTGCTGCACGATAGAAATATCATCTCAAAATTAATTAAATGCTAAATTATAATAAAATCTATTATTTCCGCATATCTTTGAATATAATTCAGAAAATTATTATTCAAATTGTTTTTTAGATTAATTATTAATCAAAAATTACAAATATAATGTGATAATTCATTTAAAGAAATCAATTTTAGTTTAATTAATTCTCAAAAACACTTAATAAAAATTATACATTCATCTTTCTTAATCTATTAAAAACTAATTATTTTTTTTCTTAATTATATTTTATTTAAATAAAATCCAATCAAACCTTAAATATAATAATTACAAACAAGCTGAGCATTCCAAGATTATTTTGAATATTTTTTATGAAATTAAAATTTTTAAATTATTAATTATGTTTCTAATAATGTTCTTATTTTTAACTATAAGAACTTAAGATTAATGTGAACCATTTGGTATAAGATTATTTTTAGGCCATTACTACACATTTTTAAAAATAGATACAGATGCATTAAGAATAGTATTCAATACAAAAGTAATAATATCATTTATTCTCAAAAGAGTAAATGCAATAATTATTTTTCGTTATAAGTTAAAGGAGATCAGGATTTCAATCTTACAAGTTACAAAACAAAATTTTTAAATATGACTGATGTTTATGTTGATACTAAAGCAAATATTTAATACGAAACCTATATACATACATTTTAAATACCTATTCAATAAACGTCAAAAATACAGTATATTTTAAAATAGAAAGACTCTTTAGTGAAAGAAGCCATTGTGAAATTACCTCATCTATATTAAAATACAACTAAAGTGCTATTTTTTGGAGATATGGATTCAAGTTGGAAACTAAATAGATCTAAGCCAACTTTTGATTGGTTTGAATAATAAATAAAGGAAGAAACAGAATTTGATAGTTTACTCTTCACTGGAGATATGGCATATGATTTGGAATCTGAAAATTGCTTAAGGGGAGAGTAATGGCTAAGTAGAATTAGCTTATTTACTTCATAATATCCTTTTATGATTGCACCTGGAAATCATGATGGTGGCTATGATTATAAATAAACTTTTCTTAGATAAAACTTTTAAATGTTATATCTAAATGAATATGACACTTCTAATTACTAAAATAATTTTTATAGTTTTAACATAGGTTTGGTACATTTTATATAGTATGACCCTGTTATGATTGTTTACAAAGCTGATCCTAATAATAGTACTTAAGAAAGATTGCTATCTCAATTCAAAAATGATTTGATTTAAGCAGTTTAAAATAGATAAGAAGTTCCATGGATTGTTGTATTTACACATTATCCTATTTACTGCAATTACATGGATGATGATTAATGTGTTCATAATTTTCACTATTTAGCTGAATTTGAAAAGTTATTTTAAGAATATCATGTCGATTTATATATTTCTGGTCATCAACATAATTATTAACGAAATATGCCTTATTATTAAAACCACTCAGTTTCATTCTAAATAGACGGAAATAAATATTATAATTATGAAAGTCCAATCTCTATTATTGAAGGAGCTGGAGGAGCCGATTATGGTCCAGAAATTATGATATGTATATATTTTTATTAAATAGATAACGATTAACCTTATACAGTTAAATAGTTAGCAGAAAATGGTGTGGGCCTATTGTAAGTAATGAATAAAACTCATTTATAATTTTAACATATACAAGTATCAACAAATCAAATTATGGATGAAATATGGATAATTAAAACTAACGAATCTGCCAACGAATCTGCCAACGAAAGTGGCATTTCATTTAATATTTGGTTCACTATCTATATATTGGATATTATGTTAGCAATTATTGGTTGCTTAATTATGTTTTTTTATTTTAAAAATAAAAGCAATAAATCAAAAATCTATAAAAAAGCTTTGGATTCAAACTTAGTGTGAAAAAATTTCATATATTTCATTTAGAAGATAAATAATATTTATTAACTTAATCAATATTTTTGTTATATTATAATGTTTTGAAATATTATTCTGTAATTACTTCAAAATATTGCTTATTAATTAAATAGATTTATTAGAATAATATGCTTTAATAATTTCTACAATTAATATTCAGTATTATAATAATATTTTTGTACAATATTTTTATAATCAGTGAATAGAAATGAAAATTTTGTAACTTAAAAATTTATTTCAAGTTTTATTGATCATATATTTTTTGTAGTTTGATGATTGACTTGGCATTATTCACCAAATTTATTCTAACCTCTATTTTTAAATTCTTAAATAAAACTTATTATTATATATTATTATCTATATATAATAATATTTAATCATATTAATATTATTCTTAGATTATATGTTTAAATTCTTAAAAAAGCAAAACGATAAGTAATTAATAAAAATTCAATTTAGAATTTAAAATATAAATCATTATTATGAAGTAATTTGTTTTCTAATATTTCTCCTGGCATAATTATTTGGAGATTAATGATATTTAGATTTATTGTTTTCTTGTCTTTCAGAATCATTAACATTTCTGTACAAATAAGGAAGATTACTCATTTATTTTTTTAAGATAGGTTTAGGCAAAGGGTGTTATTCTGATAATTATTTTTGCAATTATTTTCTTTAGACAATTGCTTCAGCTCTTCTTTCAAAATTTATTTCCTCTTCTTTGTATTAGCTACTAGGCCTACGTCTTGTAACAACTTTTGGTTATTTATATTCAGAAGGCAAAGTAGGTAATATATCTTCATGAACTGAAGCAATTCTGTAAAATCTTTTTTCATATTCAATACTAGAATTATTGACAGATTTTCTATTTAATGGCATTAATTTAGAGGATTATACACTGTATCTAACTGATTCGTTATCATTTTCTTTATTTTCATTATAATACTTTTTTGTAGGTAGAATATCATTGAGAGTGCTAAGATTTTTAGGTAATTAAATTGTTTTCATCATTTTTTTATTAATAGCTATAGATGGAGTTTTGATGTACAATCTACTAAAATCAGAATTCATTAAATTACTACTTAAAATCTGATCACAACTAGGTCTAGCAGATGCATTAAGCCTAAGCATTTAACCAATTAATGTAACTAATTAATTACTATACCCATTTATAGTAGGGAAGATTCCTTTCTGAATCTTTTTATATAGTCCTTCCATATCCAAAGCTTAAAACGGAGGATGCAAATTACACATTTCGTATAGAACACATCCTACTGACCAGATATCCGATTTATTGTCATATGGTTCATCTCTCCAAATTTCAGGTGATGCGTAGTCTCAATTTACTTAATCTAATATTACATGGAGTGCCTGTTTATGTGTACAATAGACCTCTTTAGGCTATTTTTGAAACGTTTAAATCTCCTAATTTATAAACCCCATTTGATATAAAAATGTTAGCTGATTTAACATCTCTATGGAATATCAATTTTTCATGTAATTCTTTTAAACCCTGCGTTATTTGTATCAGGGCTTACCAAATTTCTTATTCTTAAAACTTTTGAGTCTTGTTCTTTTTATTTATTATTTATTTTGCAACATCTCCTCCATCTGCATATTCCATTATAATTCCCAAAGTTTATGTTTCTTATTATATTGATAAGCAATACCTTCCATATAAATTGCTTCTTTATATCCTATTATGAACTCTTGATTTAATGATGCAAGTAGCCGAATTTCATTAAGAGCATTCTATTTTTCTTTCTCATTGAGAGTTCCCATTTTTATTTTCTTCATTGCGTAAACTTGATGGTCAGCTCTCCTCATTACCTAGTTTATAATACTTATTACTTTCCAAACTTCGCTGAATGAGCCTGAACCTAGCTTTTCCAACTCCTAAAATTGATGAAGCATCCGTTAAAATAATTTATAGAAATTAAGAAAAAGTGAATAATTGATTGATTCATCTCATAATCAGAATAAATTTATGTAAAAATTATATACTTAGAATAAGATCTAATTTTCTAATTATTTCATTCTAAATACTAAAACCATATCAATTTTTATTCTACTAGTAATGTATTTAACATAAAAGATTTTTGAGTTTGTTAAACACTATTTCATATATTTTAAAAAATACTTTTAAGCTTATAGAAGAAGATACCCTTTTATAAATTCATGATTTATTAGTCACTATTTGATAGGATTTTCTTTTAATTACTTAGCATTTAATTTAAAAGATGACATTTTAGGCAATTGTTTTATATATAATTAGAATAATTATATGAAAATTATTTATTAAACAATAAATATATATTTGTCGATTAATAGCACATTTCTACAAAAAAAATTTTATTCTTAAAGCTTTATTTTTGAAAAAAAATTTTTAAATTGCTTAAGATGAAAAAGGACCTTATAAGACAACTATTTTTCATTTAGTATATATAATTAACATCTCCTTGGCTTAATTTCTCTCATCAGATAATATTATTGCTTAAAATTAGAATAACCTAATTTGGCTTTTGATCATGCTAGCTTAATATTTCAAATTAAAAAAAATTAATCATTTCCTAACATTTTGACTTTTAGGATTGTCTAAAATTCTTTAAATGATTTGAGTGTTATGAATAATAAATTCTTAAATTCTTAAATCTCTAATAAACTGTTAATTGATTATTATTTTTTTGCTGACGTAGCATTAGATAAAATAATATATGGAAATAAAGCCAAAATGGATTTTCTGTTTGCTTCTTTGCACAAATATCATCATAAATTTAGACTAAGGTATCATTCCAGCAGGTATAGTTTATCTTTAGTTAAGCAATATAATAGATCGAGGAGTCACTTGAATTAACTTCAGAATAATTAGGTTTTTTAGGATCTTAAGTTTATGGAGGTGTAACTCTAGTCTGTTTATTTGGAGGAAAATTATTCCTCCATTTTAATTCAAAGATGATAGTTATATTTAGTTATTTAGGAATGATCTCTTCTTTAACTTTATTTCCTTTAAATTATGGAGCAAGTTGGCCATTTTATATTTTTAGATTTTTAACAGGCTGTTCAAAAGTAGTTAATTTATCTAATTTAGGCACCTATGATGATTTATTTTCCAGTTTGGGTGGATAATTTTGGAGGTGAATAAAAAACAATATGGATCACAATACTATAAGGAGTAATTCCATTAGGCATTTTTGTTGGATATTCTGTATCAAGTGTGATATCAAGTTTATGGGAATGGCAAGCAGCTTTTTATTTACAAGTGATTATGTTAACAGCTTGTGCGACTATCTTTATAATTTTTGTTAGGAATAAAGATTTTGATATAAAAAAAAGTACTAAATAAAAAATTGGAAGTAAGTCAGTTAACGAGGATCAATAAAAAAAATCTCTTCTAGGATAGAATGAAAAGAATACATATTGGTAAATGATGAAAGAATTATATTCTATAAAACTTTGGTTATGCTGCACAATTGTAATAAGCATACTATATTTTATTGTAACTGGTATTTAATTTTGGATGACAGATTATATGATTAAAGAGATGCATTAAGAGAAATAAACAGTAAACATTGTATTTGCAATTGTATCAATAACCGCTCCTGTATTTGGTTGTGTAACAGGAGGTTTGATAGCCTAGAAACTAGGTGGTTACTAAAGATCTAAATCATTATATGTTTGTGTGTTGTATTGTTCTCTTTGCTGTGTTAGTGCTGCTCCAGTACCTTTTACAGAGACATTTTGGTTTGGTGCTTTGTGTCTATGGTTTTTATTATTTTTTGGTGGTGCAATAGTACCACCATTAATGGGAATAATGCTTTCTTCAGTTCCAAAACATTTAAAAGCATTTGCAAATTCAAGTACAACAATGTTTCAAAATTTATTTGGATTCTTGCCTGCCCCATCAATATATGGATTTCTAATGGAAAGATATAATTCTTAGGTTGCAGTTTTTGCTTTGATGTATTACTCCTTCGTTGGTTTATTTGTTATGTTATTAGCTGTTTACTTTAGAAGAATGTAGACTAATAAAAAAATAGGATTTGAAGAAGTATTTACACAATAGTAAGATTCTAAATCATCTGTTTTACAAGATGAAGAAAACTTTAATATCACAGTTAGAGTTCTATAATATGGAGATACTCCATTAATTACATCACTTACACCAAATATTGAAGGTTAAATTCCTAATTATGACAATCAAGAAACAATAAATTAAGAAGATTGATTTTATTGTACTCATATATTCTTAATAATTTCTTCATATTTTTATTTTATTGAAATTCTCTCTTTATATAATAACCAAAATAAAAATATAAAGTTATTCTTCTTATAATAAATGAACAATAATCAAATCGCTGGATTACGATGTAAGTAAGGTAAAGTATTGGGATCTTTTGGCATTTTCTCATTCTTTATAACAGAAATGACAGGTCCAGGTATTCCACTCTCTAAAAGAGTTTTTTTGGCTTCTCTTTCTAATATTTTTCGGATAGAAGAATTTGAATGTATATTTGATAAATTCTAATAATAATTACTCTATATTTACTTTATATTAATTAAGAATTTCATCAGCCACATGTTTTGCAATTCTATCTTCCAAAGTTGCCTTTTATTCTCCATTAGTAGTTGTTTTATCCCAATCTTATTTACCCTACTCTAATTATTCCTACTTTTTCCTTAGTTGATTGATCGAATCTAAATTTTAAAGAAATTTTTTACTTTAACTCTTTTCTGAATGAACAGATCGTGCTTCATCATTTTTACCCAAAGATTAACTAATTTTGTCATAAATATCAGTCTCTCTCTATTCTTACTTTTATTCATTTTGATTTTATGGCTTATCTAACTAAAAATCTTATTTTTTAATTTCAGTAATTCTTTATTAGAGAGCCTTCAGCATAACATTAACCTAAATATTAAAATAAAAGTACTTCTAAATCATTAATATAAGAATCATAGTCTAAATTTTCAACAAAATTCAAAAGATCATCTTCTTCATTCTTTATATGTTATTCTTCTTCCTAATATTTAATTTTTATAACTGTTAATTACTTCTTTAGTCATTGCCCATACTGGCTTTGTTTTATATCTTTTTTTTTTATCTCCTGGTTTACTCTCAGATTTTTAATCTTTTTCTTCTAGCTTTTTCAAATTATCTGCTGTCAAAGCCACCCTTTTAAAAAATATTATAATTTTTATACGTTTTACTTTTAGGTTCGCCTTCTTATAATTCCTTTTTAATAATTTCATTCATCTATTTATAATCTTCTTTCATTTTCTTAGTCACTTCTCTATCTTTCTTTGCTAATTCTCGAACTCTTAAAAATTTTTCATCTTCTTTTGCTTATAATTCTTCCTTAGCATGTTTTTTAATCTAATTTTATAGTTTGAATTCCTCCAACCATTTTTTATGTCTCTCTAAGACAGGATTTGTTTATGGAACTACTAATTTTGGTTCTTCATATTTTTTTGTTAATCCCCATTAATCATATGGTTATACCCTTGAACAAAATGGTCTGAGTAATTCTTATATTGATACTTTTCTTTTATGACCATAACATTATCGTTTGGCCTATTACAAAGCATAACTCCTTTAAAATTATTGATAGGAACATCCATTTTGATAATTGCAAAATTTATAAAAAAAAGACAAATAAATATGACAGCAAATATATATTATCTATCGTAATTATTTGGATAGATAATATAAGTGAACTTTATCATTCACTTTATAATCAATTAGAAACATTTTGTTGATACAATTAGTCCTAGTATATGAAGGTTCTGAGAATATGGCGACAATGAATGTAATAATGGAAGAACTACAAAGTATCTGTTTTGATAAAATATGGAAGAATATTTTGGAGAAGTAAAATAATGGCAAACAGGTGAAGGATAATAAAATGATTGAAAAAAGATAGATAACTTGTTTGTCAATTGCAAAAATAACGGTGATGAAGATGTTATACATCAATTTTAGAAATGTAATATATGATTAAGATAATATATTTAGTCAAAAATTAGAATGTGCTAGATAACTGTGACTCTTGGGAAGTATGCTTTTAAATCTTTTTTAATCAGATGACCTTTCTCATAAGGATCATGATTTTAAAGTTATTGAATTACCTACATTTATAGAAAGTATGCAAAGAATATATAAAAAAATCTATATTAGATACAGGATCTATTTTAATATAGACTTAGTATCATATACACTCATTGCAGATTATGATGACTCTCTACCAAAAACTGATTTAATAAAAATAATTAATTTTAATGAAAACACTATTTCTGATCACCTTAATTCTTTGCTATGCCAATTGCAGTCTTGAAACTATTGGATTGAGACACAAATTATCCCAAATCATTCAAGAGCATTAATAAAGTCTCTAATAAGATAAATAAATGTCAGGAGGATGGATCAAAGTATTAAATGTTTAAATATCTATAGTAACCATTAGATGAATTTGTACAATAAAACAATAATATAATAAACTCTTCTTTGGAGGCTGTTGAAGAAAAGTATCATCCATTAAAAGATGAATATACATATGAAAAGTTGCTTCAAGTTACTACTTAAGTGGTAGCAGGAATCAACTACAAAGTTCTTGTTTAATATGAAAAAGATAATTCTAAAAGAATTTTTGAAGTTTAATAATACGTTGTGTAAATTTTACCATTTTTAAATTAGTCCATGGAATCCATCAGCTAATTCCATTACCAAAGTCGAAGAAATCGTTTCATCAAACTAATGAAATAAATATTCTAATACAAAATAACATTAATATATATGATATCAAAAAAAAGCGCAAATATGTTTGATATTTGTGCTATTCGTTTTATTATGTTTATTTATTTAAATACTAATATACTAATTTTTAACTCTAAATTTTTTTCTACTTATTAATAAGAGTTCAAGTTATAATATTAGAATGTTACGTTCTCCACTCTGAGTATTGTATACTTATAAACTGCTCAATAGTTATAATTTTAAAATCAAATTAATTTGAATTTTTGTATATGAAAAATTGACCGCTCTTTAAATAATAGAGTTAAAAGAGATTAGCATGTAATTATTTGAGATTCCTTTCATATATTTTATTATATTGAATCAAAAATTGCTTCATTAATTAGTGAATTTATAAGATTGTCTTCATCATAATTCTAAGAACAAATTAAGAATTCTCTCTAGTCCTAATAAATATCGAGGTTTCTTAGACACTGTCTTTAATAATATTACTCCTCAAATTGTTCAAGAACAGTTGGAATATTTGTTTTAGAAGTTATGTTTGAAAATCTTTCCTTATTGAATAAAGCAATCATAATACTTGTAATTCTTATTTTAACTTACTCTATAATAAGTATAAAGTTTCACGAGTTTTTTAACTTTTCAATTCATGAGGAATTTCTTTGCTTGCTTTATTTTGTTATTCAGCACTTCCTTATTATATTTACTTTGTTTCCATAATTGTCACAAATCTATAGGGATCAAATGGTTTGAGAGCATCATCAATAAGACAATCTAAAGCTTATTGTAATTTTGAATTGAACACACTTTATTAATTCATAAAATTAATTGTAAAATGGGGAATTCATGCTGTGTAAAGCAGTAAAATGAAAAAGAATTACACTAAGAAATTAAAAGCAATTACATTCGATCCTTAACTAGTATAGATTCTAAGGTGTTCTTTTCAAAACCTTCATAAGTAGTTAAATATGAAAGTCATGTTTTACTAAATATAAATGAGGAACCTGTAGAAGAATTAAAAGAAGATTTCTAAGATTAGAAATTATCTCCTTTAACCAAAAATTTAAATAAAAAATTCCTAAATATGTTAGAATGATAAAAATATATTATTCATTTTCCTTATCATCATTTTCATTTCTAGATTTGTATTCTTATTATACTTAATTCATTAAGTGACTAAATTTTTAAAGCATTACTAGTATGAGAATACAAAACTGTTCGTATTAGTAAAAATTTTTTTTTATGTAACAGTTAATTAGATTAATAAATTCCCATTTTCTTTGAATTTTCATTTTAATAATCAAAAAAGAGAGATTTACTTTTCTATGTTTATTAAAAATAATTTTGTTTTATGAATTTTATCCTAGTTTATTAAACAAACAACAACTTAGAAAATTACTAAGGTTTAAATAACTTAATATTTATACTAAAAAATAATGATTTTCAACAGAATTTTGAATTGATAATATATAATTTTTAAAGAGATATTCTTTTCAGATGTTTTAACTGGTGAATATTTATGCTAAACAACCAATTAATTTATTGAAATATTCAATATTTAAATTTTCATTTGGACCATGAGCATTTGAATCAGGTGCTAAAACTCCTAATATTAAAAATTAAGATTCAGGATATAATTAATGTAAAGAATTTAAAAATGGAATTGATGCTCCTTCATGAAACATTCTCATTTCATTTGAAAAATATTGAAATGATGCATCATTTAATATATTTTTGAGTTCATTACTAAATGCTTTAACAGCTAAGCCTGTTTTTGCTTATATTATTTCAATCTTGCTTTATTAGGTAGTTAATAATTCTATTAATTATTCTGAAGCTTCTTAAGCATCCTTATTAGGAGGCAATCTCATAGAAATTCTGATTGTTAATGTATCATTATATTAATCCAAGTCTTCTAAACCTCCTATATAAGAAACTGAAGGTTTCCAAGCTCTGTTTATGTATTATTAAATATGATCAATTTCCATTTTATCACAGATCATTGGGAATTCTAATGGAACTAAATGAGCTGTTGCTTTGCATTCTTCAAGGCTATTTTTAGATATTATTGTTTAGAATTTGGAATTGACTTCACCTGTAACAGAATTTTCTAATTTATTTAACAAAATTCTTAAATATTAAAAGGGATTCTCAGTTTAAATTATTTTTATGTCAAAAGTAATTGCTCCTCTCATAGAATTTGTAATCCATAATCTATCATAATCGACAATTCCTGAATCTATTGCAATCATAAGATCTATTTTTATTAAATTTAACATCTAGATGTATTATATTAATTAATGACTTCCACTTTCTTCTTCTCCTTCTACGATTAAGTAACAATCATGATAATTTTATTTAAATTCTTTTAATGCTTTTATTGCTGCTATAATTGCATATGGTACACATCCATCATCTGAAGATCCTCTTCCATACAATCTATTATTCTCTAAAATAGGTGTGGTTGGACCATATTTCCAACCAACAAAATGTGGTTATTTATCATAATGTCCATAACATAAAATAGTTTTATTATGTTATTAATTGCCTAAAAATTTGACAGCAATGCAACTTGGAGCATTTTCTATTTACATTATTTTTATTTCTATTTGTAAGCCAACTGTTTCATTTTCAATCCATTTAACAATATGATTACAAGCTCTCTCAAGTAATTTATTTTATTACCACTAATTATCAAACTATGGACTCAAATTAGGTATTCTTATAAAGTCTGATAACGAAGGAATTATTGAAGATTCTGTATATTTTTAGATAAAGTTTATCATAAAAATAATTAATTTTAATATAAATTTGGTGAAAATATAAATTTTATTTAAGTTATTTGAGAATTAGATATTATGCTTTAGTTTTTGAATGAAATAATTATTTTATCAAGAAATTCTTAATCAGCAAAAATAATTAAGATTCATTAATATCTTTGAAAGTAACATAAACTTTTGTATTCACATGATAGTACATCTAAATTTATTATAAATTCATTAAGAATCAATTTAGTTTTGAAATACAAACCTTTTCCATTTCTATAAATCAATATATATTTAAGAGATGTTTAATTCATCTATTGAATTCGAAATGCTTTTTTAATGATAATCAAATTCAATATGACAATTTATGAATATTTCATTTTATCATAAGATTAGTAGTCCAGAGGATGAATTATTCCTTTTGTCTAATTTGCTTTTGATTTCAGGATTAAGATCTTAAAATTCAATCAGTAAGTTATAATCCTATTATTTCTTGGGGGTAGTTAATAAAATTTATAAAAAGATTTGATGAGTCTAATAATAAATGTTCATTATAATTAAATTTTTTTCAATTATGAAACTATCCCTACTTGATCATTAAAGTAGAGATTCTAAAACTTTTATGAGATTTATAAAGATTATTTTTAACTACTAGATTCAATTAAAAACTAATAAACAAGATTTAAATAAAATGGAAACCTCAAAATAAATTTGATATATAGAAATTGTATTCAATTTAATTTTACCTTTTTCTTTTCTTCAGCTAGTTCAAATTTTAATATATCTTCAAAATCTAATTCTTATTTATTTCCTAAATCTCTGGTGGGAGATAATTATTATGGTTTAGATGTATGTCTATCATCTCGCACAACTTTTTAGTATTTCTATGTAGTTATTTAAGATGGTCTAATCTATTATTTTTCAAGTCTTTGTTATTGTAATTTCATTTCATTTTTTATAAGAGTTTCATGAAATTCCTTTTCAAATTAAGGCATTTCATTAGGTTAGCAAGGTTTTGGATCTTATTTAAAAAAGTCATGATTTAAAGCTTAAACTGCATTTAATCTTTTATTAGGATCTAATATTAAAAGATGATCTATTAAATCTAAAGTGACTTAATCAATTTATTTATTAATATCTTAACAAACCTTTAAAATTTGTTTTACTAATAATCTTTCATAATTTCTTCTTGGTTTAAATTCTTCCCATTATCTAAGATTAATACAATTAGGCCAATTTTATTCAGTAGCACTTCCACATAATTCATAAATTCTTTCCATCTATCTAAATTCAATATCTCCTTTGAAAAGTACTTCTCCTGTAATCAACTCTGCAAAAATACATCCTAAACTCCACATATCAATTTATGAGTTATAATTAGTTTATCCCAACAGTAATTCAGGTGCCCTATACCATAATGTTACTACTTTATATGTATATTTTGGATTATTAACATTTGATAATGTTCTTGCTAAACCAAAATCAGCTAGAGTCACTTATCCTTTATTATTCATTAAAATATTGGCACATTTTAAATCTCTGTGTATTATTTTGCTTTCATGAAGATATTTAACACCTTCTAATAGTTATTTAAATATGCATTTTAATTGTGGTAGTGTAAATATATTTCTTTATCTATGTAGACCAGCAAAATCATGATCATAATAATCAAATACTAAAAATGTTGATCCTCTAAAATTATTTCTAAAAGATGCTTTGCTTACTATTATCTCTCTTAATCTTAAAATATTTTTATGATTCATAATTTTCAATAATTTGATCTCTCTGATTGCTGTAATTGGAAATCCTTCATAAATTCTCATATAATTATACCTTCTGCCATTATTTTTTAATCTTTAGTGTCAATTTTTTTCAAAGCAACATAATCATTTGTTTTTAAACATTTTGCTTTATAAACTTTACCATATGTTCCAGACCCAACTTCGCCTATCACTTTATAGTATTTATTAACATTTTTAGTTCGACAAGAAACTTACATATTATTTATAAAATTAATTCTCATTTTTTATGTATTGCTAAAGCTTATAGAAAACTATTAACAAAATTAATAATAATTTTTAAAAATAAATTAAATAACCTCATTATTATTATTATTATTATTTTTAATGTTAGAGAATATTTAGATTCATTATTTGAATGAGAAAATTTATTAATCCTTAAAAAATTATAATTAATATTAAATTAAAAAAATTATGTTGACAGCGAGATTTGAACTCGCGCCCTTGCGGATTGGAGCCTAAATCCAACGCCTTAGACCAACTCGGCCACATCAACTTTGTTATTCATAATTCATAAATTTTACTAATGTAAGTATAGCAAGCTTCTTTTGATTAAATATTATTACTCAATATTTTTTATAAAAATAGATTATAACATTATTTTTATAATCTAAAACCCTTATAAAGTTCTTTGAATGCTTGTCTTAACTAATTTAAATGATTTAGAAGATTTAAAATATATTATGATGAACAAATCAATTTAAAAAAGTTATTCATTGATTAAAATCATAAATAATTAATTTAACATCATACTATAATCATTAGTAGAAATGTTGTGTATAATTTCTAATATAATCATCAGAATCTGATTCTTCATAATCATCAACTACAAAATGCACTTTTCTTCCCTTCCTTATTTTTTTTAATGCAAATTTTTAAATTACTGTCATTAAACCAGGAACCATTGTTATTTCTTATTCTAAATTTGGATTTAATTTATGGATCTTATCAAATTAATCTATAAAAATTGAATTTGTTTTCTCTAATAATGGTTGTGATATTATATTTGAATGTTATTCTACAAATAATAAAATTTATAATATATTGTTGCTATCCAACTTTGAAATAATATCTTCTTCACATTTTTATTTTAAATCTGTAATTAAATATTCATCTGCAAGCAACATCAAATCACAAGTGTCTTCTATCTCTTCTGGAAACTACTCTAACTAAAAATCTAAAGTACTTCCTTCCAGTACCCACAATATATCCATTATAACATAACTTTATATAAATCAGGTTTTTTTGTTCAACTTTAACTAATTTTTAATTGGTCTCAATGATATTTGAAGAAAACATTCCATTAAATTTTGGTGATCTACCAGCTAGAATACATTTGTGTAATGGAATTGGCTTATTATTAAAATATCATTTACAATTTCTTCATTAATTTAAAGCATTATATCACTATGTGTTCCATAATTGAACAAACCTTAGAATGAAGTTTTTAAGGGATCTTAGACCATTTAAGAAAACTCTGTTGTATGGATTACCTTCACTAAACATGATGTCATTATACTCGTTTCAGGCTTTTATAATAATTTTTAAAAGTACTCTTATATCTCTGCCTAATGATTGAAATCTCAGCATTTTGTAATTTAGACCTGTAATTCCACAGAACACAGAATTCAAGACTATATGATAAAAATGTTCTTGGTCTAATGATAAGAAGTTTTATAGAATTATTCTTTATCATGATCACTTAATTCTTTGAGAAGTTTAGAAGATCTTCTCCGGCTTCAAATATTATATCTAATTATTCAGAACCTTTCTTCTTTAACATTTTATTTTATTATTTCTTATATAATAATAAAATTAGAATTATTGACTTTAAATTATAATAAAGAGAAGATCGTTTAGGATTGATTTGTGATTTTTTTAAAACGATTATTATTTGTAAATAATAATGGAAATGAATGTAGATAAAATACAATTATTGAGCAAAAAAAAGAAAATATTAAAAAACCCATTTTTAATACACACATCATTCCTGCCTATTTTTGGTTGTTGTATTATTAAAAAAATGAATGTTATCCAACAAATAAAGTTTTTTCAATATATCATGGGTATCTGTGATGATTCTAAGAATAAGATCAAATTTACTTGAAATTGTTAATAAGAATTTTAGTGAAATTCATCGTTATTGTAATCTTGTATGTCAATATTTAAATTTACTTGCTTTAAAGCCCTTCAAAACATCTTGTTATATTTTGAAAATAAAATCTGCCATCTTTTAGTTTTCCATTAGTAATTTTTCTAATAATTCTTCTTTGTTCTAAAATGTTTATTTTAAATCTATGAAAATTGCAAGTTTCTATTTAGTAGTGAGACTCCCATAAAATTCATCCAAAGGCATACTCAAATTATAGGTACTTGATGTTTTAAAATTCACTTTCTCAATAGCATATGGTACTGTAATAAAAAACATATAACAAATAATAATCATACATATTTTTAAGGAAGTTAGACTGCCATGTAATTTAACTTTTAATTCTCTTCCTTAGAATTTGTATCCATTTAAAGTTTCAACAGCTAAAGTTGCTGTAAATTCATCATAATATTCAGCAGTACATGAAAATTTAACTTCTCCTTCGCGCCTGAATAAAATAAAAATGTTATACTTAGGATTCCATTCTACTAATGGACCAATAGTTTAAAGAAGCTTTTCTACTTCATAATTTTTGGCTAAACTCTAAATATTGCTGACATGAATTTGATTTAATTTGGGTGGCATAATTAAATTATATTATTTATGCAAGAATAAGGTATGTGTTGTGATGGAACTAGGTCTTTTTTAGGTACAACACTAAAAGCACCATAAGTGATATTTAGAAAGACAGTATCTATTGATGTGTGTATGATTTATTTTATAAAAAGTAGAGAGTCCAGATTAAAAAGAATAGTACATCAAAGAATCTAAATTAGCAGTGTCCTTCTCCTCACCTCCAAATTCAGGTTGTGAAAATTGTTTACCAGATGAGGAAGTAATTTCTTATTACATTCCAGAAGATAATCATTCATATACTAGCTACAAACATGTTCGCTTCTCTGAACCATCAGATAAGTATTCCTATAGATATATAACAAGAACTGCAAATATTCCCTAACATAAATATAGGAGATAACGTTCCATTCCTATACCAGAAAAAGTTCAAGAAGATCTAATAGGAGAATCTGCATAACTTTCTCCAAATTTGAAGGCTCACATTTATAACAAGAATAGTTAATAAACTAAATAAAAAAAGAATATGACTCCAGAAACAGAAAATCAATTTAATTTCAATGCGTTGTCTCTTTAAAATAGTTTTTGTTGTAAAACCATCTCATCTTAAGAGTAGATGGATTAAACTAATTAAATGGCAGATGAATTAGTCAACATAGTTAAAAATTATTTAAACGATATTACATATAATGAAAAACATTTTACATTTGATGAATAAGAGGATGATTATAGAAATAAATTTAATTTATAACAAAAAGTCTTAAAAGTAATGTGTTATGATAAATGTAGAAAGCATTAGAACATTTAAACTTTAAGATGAATGTGACATTATGTTCTCCTATTTCAAGAATTTCAGCAACTTCTCCTCATTTCGAAGATTTGCATATAAATGTAAAAGACTTATAAACTAAAATTGAAGAAATAAGTGATACGAATGATCTTCTGAAAGATAAGATTGAAATATAGGAAACTAAATTGCTTGAGTAGTATGATCAAATAAAACAAATGCGAAAAAAAATATCAGATCTAGAATTAGAGAATAAGAATCTTTTAGAGCAATATGAATAAGAGCAAAATAGAAGAAAGAGTTTAAATGAATAAATAAATTAATAAAAATAATAATTAGATGATAAAATTAAGACTTTACAATGTTAATAATTAAAAATACATCAATTAGAGTAATTGGTGGAGAGAAACAATAAGAAAAGCAATCAAGATACATAAAATTTAAATATAAATTGGAATTAATTGAAAACCGGAAGAAGACATACTAATTCATTTCATGAGGTATGTTCTTCACCAAATGGTAATAAGTTAGTGATTGTTAACAGTAGTACAAATAGTTCTTAACAATCTCCTAAGAATACGTAAATATAGAATAATGAGAAAATTGAAAATTCTGATAATACAACTTACTTTGGATCGATTATAAAAGATAAGAAATAAGGATATGGTAATTTGAAGAAAGGAGATAAAAAATTATACATGGGTAATAATGAAATGGGTAAATCTAGGTTTTTGGAAGGATGATAATTTCAGTGGATTTGGTCATTTGAATAATGAAAAAATTGAAGAAGGAATTATTGATGTGCTTAATTTAAATACAATAGGAAATAAGTGGATTAGTTATTAAGGAGAATTTTAAGATGGCTTATTTCATGGATATGGAATTTGGACATTTTGTGATAGTTCAAGATTTCATGGTTTATTTCAATAAGGAAAAGCAAATGGAAGAGGGTAACTTTATATATTTTCAAATTAGTACTTATTATACAAATCTTAATACTATAAAAGGATTTTGGAAATAAAATATTAAAATTTGATTCATAATTAATATTTTCATATCTTTATAAATGTTAAATAATTTTAATCTCTAGTACTATTTATAATTGAATAGTTGGGCCTTTATGTTTAATTTTAATTACAATTTATATTAATTTAATAATCAACAAAAATACTCTAATATCTGAAGTATACATTCAAATTTTAGATCTCAAATAGAATTCTAATCATATCTATGACATTAATTATATTGATGTAAAAAAAAATTTCATTTTCTTCTACTCTTAATTTTTGTTATAGCATTCTTACCATATTTCAAAATTAGTTATTTAATTTTGATGTTTATCTGCATATTTCTAGTTTTAATGTAATATTACATATGTTAAAACTTATTTAAACTTACCATTTTGAAGATTAAAGTTTCTCCTAAATGTATTCATTCTAAAACTCAACTATAAAAATCTTGAGATGTAAAAAGTTAATATATTCTCATGATTTGAGAAAAGAGCATACCATATTTAAGCAGGATACCATCAAAATTATCAAAAAAGGTATATTTTAATTAATTTTTGCAAATCTTTAATTGCTTTATAAAATTCTTCTGATTCTTATTTGGGAAAAATAAATTAACCAAGAATTACTATTCCCATCTTTCAAAATCTCTTTCGACTTTTCGACTGATTTAATTTCATTTTATGGATAAAAATTCAATTTCCTAAATTATCTATAATTAGTGAATCCTTTATTGTTTTTGAGAATGATATGTCATTAATAAAGTAAAATATTTATTAAAATTTTTTTTAATTTATAATATGATATCCTCAAAAAAATAATGTGAAATTATATTAAATTTGTTCATCTCATTTTATGATTTTTTATACTCTTCATTAAGTTATTCATTATAATTTGAAAAGGTGTAATTATTAACTAAAATTATAACCAATTTATATTAATTTTATAAAAATAAAAAACATTAATTTGCTGTTTTCAATTTTAGGAGTTTTTTTTGCTAGGCTCATTTGAAATAGCATTTTGATAGGTCAATTAATATAATTTTTGAAATTAAAATAAAATAAATTAGTTTATGAATCGTCAACATTTTAAATGAATAATATAAGTTAAATTACAGATTCCCATTTATTAATTAATTATTTTTAAATGAATCAAGCAATTCGTTATTACTCTAGTTAATAGAATCATCTTTAATATAATTATCCAATGTAGCCATACTCTTTACCAAGTAATTCAAATGCAAATAGATTTTAATAAGAAATTTAAGTTCCTTCCATTTAAAATGATTACAATGTAAATTAAGATAATTAATTTGTTGCATAATAAATAACAAATATTTAATGGAACAATGACATTGAGGAAATCGATAGAGGTTTTACAAATAATGATATTTCCTAAAATGAAAATCGTAATTAAAATTAGTAAAAAAATCTATAATATGAATGTAAAGAGTAATAGTTTAGAGAAACTTATTTATTTGCTGTTTTAGAATTAGTATTTTCCATTATATTAACAATTATTTGTTATGAAAATCAAGATTTTTAATACTATTTTATTGATGATAGCTTTTAAGTATCGAAGTTAAGCTTTTCTTGCTGTTTTATTTCAATCATTATTTTAGTATTATTTTTCAAAATTCAAACCAGAGAAAATTATGTAAAAAGTTTACATTAACAAAGAATCCCAATAAATGCTTAGATATGGTAGGAATAGTCACCTGGACTTTATTTTTTTAAAATTATATTGTTTGCTCTAATGTCGTGGTGTTTAAAACATTGAATCTAGGATGTAAGATATTTTCATATATAATATAACAAGTCATATACATTTAATTCACTTAAGGTTACATTGTTTTGATCCTACTTATATTTATTATATGGCCTTAATATTGTTTAAATCTAATAAGTACTATTTTATATACCATAAGAATACTTTTGTATTGTTATTGTATTAACCTTTTCATTTGTACTTTTTATGTCAATCTATTTTGAAGATCATTAATTTTGGTGGTTGTTTGGAGTTCCTGTGATTGCATATTTATTGAGCATCAATATATTAATGTAGTTTGTGGTAATTATTCAAATCTTTAAATATATTTAGCAGAATACTTTTGAAGACAATATTACCTCATCAATTATGATTCATTTCATATTATCCATAATAATGCCATAATTTATATATCTTATTGTCTATTAACAATGATTATTATATTAAATGTAATTTTTGATCAAATTTAATTAAATTTTTAAAATGAAAATTTACAATTTTTAAAAAAGAATAACTTTAAAAAAATTATAATCTTAAAGTATTTTATTAACTAAAGATCAATTATTAGTGGAAATTTTAGAATAAAGTAGAATACATATAAATGATAAATCTTTTCCATTATAAACGATAATATAAAATTTCTTTAATTATTTTAACATTAGTTGACTCACTTAAAGTAAGGAATATACAGGATTCTTGATAAAGAAACAACCTTATTAAAAACAAAAAAAGGTTTTTTAAATAATGGGATTATTAGGCTGAATGTTGGGAAATTTGTGTAATTCAATTGAAAGATAAATCTAGTAACCAGAAAATGGTACTTATAGCTCATTTTTTAACTACCAGAAATGATGAATATCACATATTATGGATAACATTCCACTTGCCATTACCATTGTTATGGTAAATAATGTTTAAAAAAAAAGCACCATTCAAATGAATTTGAACATGTGCACAATTCTCAAAAAAAAATTGAATTAAAGTCATTTAATTGAACGAAAAAGGTTTTTTATATTGCAAAAGTAACATTGAACTATCTAACGCAATAAATACACTTACACATCTATTAGATAACACCATTCAATCAAATAGAGTCAAAAATAATATCTGCAATGTTTAATTATAATCTAAATATTTTTAGATAACATTTGTTTTGCTTCAAGTATTAACCCTCAAAATTATCATTTTTGTGTTGGAGGTAGACACAGATTCAACGTTAAATTTACAAATTATTATATAAACTTTAATATTGCTGATTTTATAATTTCCTAACATCAAAGCCTTTTTTCCTAAAATTCCAAAAATATTGATTTTGTTTAATATTTTCTAAAAATGATCTTCACTTCCAATTATTGATTGGTTATTCACCAATTAAAAGAGCTGATATTTTAGGCATTCAAGCAATAAGCAAGTTATTATCATATTTAGATCATAATTTAATTTTTTTCTCTATCTTTTAATTACTGTAATCTTATTAAATAGGTGGGCAATTTGTTAGCAAATTTAGAACTATTTACTTTTTAATCAATTTCAAAATTATATGTATAAAAATAATAAAAAAAATTTTAATCAAACAACAAATAATTGTTAGTTAACTAAATGTTTACTACTATTAAAAAAAGTCTTTACTATAATAATTATTATTGATGATCCTAATTATCATTAGCCTTATAGATTAATTCATCTACTTCTTAACCATCAGAAAAGATAAATTAGCCAAAATAACGTAATAGATTAGCAAAATCATTATAAACTACAATTTCTTTATTTTTTCACTTAAAAAAGGCTTGAAAATAATAATAATAATTAAATTAAGGTTTAATTTAATTAAATAAATAAAACACGAAAAATATATATCCTAAATGAAAATAATATTTAACAAGATATTTATTGTCTCATTTAATATTTTTTTAGAATTTATTTCTAAATAGCTTAATGTTATTATAACATGCTTTATACCCAATTACCAATAGAAATTTTTAGATTACTTCTCAAAATTATATTGTATGTTTGACATATCATTTGATATATTTTTTAAGTGTCCCATTATTATCCTTTTTATTATTAAAATTTTAACTTTTAATTATATTAAAAGCTCCTAATTGTATTTCTTTTTCTAAATCTGTTGGGGTAACTGCAAATTTTTACAAAATGTTAGTTAAGCTTTGTATCTTACTTTAAATTTTTATTCCTTATTGCTTTCCACTAAAAAATTAAGGGCATCACTAATGATAGTAAAAACCTACTAACAACTGGTAGTGGATTTGAGATAACACCAACCCATTTAACAGCTTACTTTACATAAACTAAAACAAATTGTAAAAAATGCCAAAATAAGGATCTATAATATAAAAGTTGGTTGACATTATTTGGCTAATTTAGAATGTCTAATTCTTTTTATATAACGATCGGTTCATATTGATTTAATATGGTAATATCTTTTTCATCATGTAATTATTGGTTCTCAAAAACTGTAATTCTTTATTAATTCTTTTCCAAAGCTTCTTTAAGTTTATTTATTTCTTGCATCTAAACCTATAATATTTCGAGGATTTAATTTTATTCTAATGAAGATACTTTTAATTTATTATAAACATTCTTTTTCTTCCTCTAAAGATATCAATTTTTTTTCAATAAGTTAAGAAGTTTATCTTTAATTTTTTATAGTTCTTAGTCTATATCTAAACTAATTTTTTCATTAATAAAAATTAATTAATTGTCCTTATGAAAAGTTGAATCGTTCTAAATCTATTGTTTTGACATCTTTTGAAAGTTCTTTAGCCTTAAATAAATATTCTCTAGTTTAAAGTGCATTCTTGAAGTCTAAAATTGCCTTCTAAATATTTCTTCAATTCCTTATAAGCATTTCCTAATGATTAGATATTAAGATTTTACCTTGATTTGAGGATACTAAAAATTGACCTCGATTACTTTAGTATACTCCTTAATAGATTCATTGTATTTGCCTTATTAGTGTAATATCAAAGCTATTTAAATATTTTGACTTCTACCTTCATGCGAATAAGATTGTTAACAAGAAATCATATCTTTTTTTACTTTTTTAAATTAAAACTTAATTTTTTTATATTCCCAATAAAAATATCAAAAGTGCGTATTGACTTTCAGTACATTACAATAATAATTCAATCTAAGTTTAATATTATTGACTATTCATAGAACATAAGTATGTAGTGTATATTTCTTTAAGATTAATTTGATCTCAGTTGATGTGAGCAAAAAAGAAAATATGCCACTACTTTCATCCATTTTAAGTAAATAGTTCTTAAGGGTAAATGATTCATTATTATCTTCGAATAGTTGGTAGTATTGATAAAGAAAAGATGAGCTTTATAATCTATTTTATTCATTTCATACATCTAACCTGAAAGTCTTATAATCACTAATGATATTCCTCTTGCTCAGATTAAAATAGATCTTAATTTATAGGCAAAATTGATGATAAGTATTTATTTCATAAATTCAAAGTTTAACTCTGGTCACATTAGAAGAAGGCGAAGAACCTTTTAACCTTATTTTCGATCCCAAATTGCATGAAACTTTGAGAAAATAGGATAAATATTCAAAATATACATAATTTCATAAATTAAAAACGTTTCTGTCTAAGTAATCTACATCTCTACTTTAGTTCATTTATTTATCAAAATAATTAATAGAGCATTATACAGAAATCATTACGATATAATTAGCAATTTTAATTATTATCATCTTCCAAACAATTGTAAAAAAAAAGTAAATTCTAGTATTTTACTTACCTCTATGAAGAATACTAAAAAGATAGGATCTTACAATTTATCAACAGCTTCAATTGATACTAGTTTTTTCATGCCATCAATTTTTTATTTAGGTGAGATATCTTATAAAAATGAATTAGATCACTTAATACTTATTATTATTATTGAATTAGAAGTAAAGTTTTTGGTTGTTTTCTTTTAATAATTTATCTTCTCATCTGATTGTTCAACTTCTTCCAGAATCTCTTCATTTTTTTCACAGATTTAATTGTCAATATATTTCCAATTTATACACAATCTATTTTATTTTACCCTTATAAAATCTTATTCCGGTACTTTCTATTTATTGTTTTAATTAATTTAATTCTCTATCATTCTTTTTAATGATCCTATATAAAATTATGTTAAGCCTTTAATTCACACATCAGTTGCTTTCTCAAACATATTTAATTTAACTTGATTAAAGAAGCAAGTGAACAAATTAACATTACAATAGTAATCATAAAAGAATTTAATGAATAAATTTGAATATGTTGATTCTCTGAATATTGGAATCCTCTTTGAATTCTCATGAGCTATTTGTAACTCATTTTTTTCAAATATTTACTAATTTTATCTATTTAACATTTTAATTGTTCCAATTTATACAAAAACTTGTTAAGATTTTTGGATTAATTTCAATACTTTTTTATTTTAATCTTCCCCAAATACATTATAATACTTTTAATTAATTTAATCCCATAGATATAAAAAATACTCCATCTTAATTACGGATATTAAATAAAAAGACACTATTCTCAAATTAGATTATAATTAATTTTATAAATCTTGATTATGTTCTTTAAAGACTTCCATTTCTTAGAGACTATTCTTAACAAATCTGTTAACTTCTTTATTTGATTAGTGAAGATGTTAGTTTTGCTATAATACAAATTTTGTAAATCAGTTGAAAATGTATCTTAATTCAATAGTACTATTTTACATATTGAATATGATAGAAATAAAAAGATTATTAAAAGACTTAAAAATCCCATTAAACTTTTAGTAAAACATTATTACTTAAGAGACATATTAATTAAATTAAATGTGATATACAATTCTTAAGATAATAATAAAATTATTTTTTTAACATAAATCAGAGGTTTGAGGAGAATAAGGAGAAACAGTAATATCACTTTATTCTTAATAAACAAATATGAGTTATATTCCACCTAAATATTCGAAAAATGGTCTTGTTTTTTTCGTTAATAGAAGCATTAGGATATTTAAATTTTTAACTTATAATAGTCAACAAATAGAGAGACTCTGTACTTCTGTGGATTCTGAAGAAAGAGAATTTTGTTAGGGAGCTTAATAAGTTTACGTTGGTATATTTGATAACTCCAGAAGAGAAAAAAGTCATTTCTACTATATCATTTTGGACTTGAAGAAGATGGATTATGTCCTCCATAAATTAAGGATATAAAAAAATCAAAGATTTACTTTGGTTGAATATATATAGTATAGAATCTAATTTAATTAATATGTCAAGAATATTATATATTTTAAAAGAAAATAGTAATTAAGATTTTCAAAGCTGAATCCATTAAAGCAAAATAAAAAATATTGAGACAATTAATTACATACTAGATACAGGAGTTATAGTAAAACCAGGTGGTTAGTTTGGGATTGGATTTTTTGGAATAAATTCAATATCTAAACTACTCTCTTCATCTTCAAAAGTTGGATAATCTAGAAATTAATCAAATACTTAAATACCATATGAATAATAACTATCAAGTTCAATATTATCAAAAAGTTCTCCACTCTAAGAACCAGATATTGAAAGAGATGGACCAAAAAATTATTCAGAGTATTCATCAGATAATTAATTTTTGATTACTTTTGATTTTCTTTTTTGAATTCCTTTCCTAGATTCTAATCTCTCTTCTTAAGTTAATTATTATAATTAAATTATTCCTTAGGATATAGAATTCTATATCTAATTTCTTTTTTTAATGCATCTATTATTTTTGATTTAACATTCGTATTTTAGATTGAACATATTGAATTCCAAACAATCTGTTATAATTCTGAATTAACAATCTGAACTTAAAGAAAAAGCATATGAAATTAAGATTAGTATTAACATGAAAATAATATTATTTAATAATTAATATAACAATTGAATTAGAATCTAAAGGTCTAATGCTTTATTTTTCAGATTCATCCATTAAATTTTCATCTCTCTACCTTTAATTGCTTAAAATTTCTAANGTACTATTTTACATATTGAATATGATAGAAATAAAAAGATTATTAAAAGACTTAAAAATCCCATTAAACTTTTAGTAAAACATTATTACTTAAGAGACATATTAATTAAATTAAATGTGATATACAATTCTTAAGATAATAATAAAATTATTTTTTTAACATAAATCAGAGGTTTGAGGAGAATAAGGAGAAACAGTAATATCACTTTATTCTTAATAAACAAATATGAGTTATATTCCACCTAAATATTCGAAAAATGGTCTTGTTTTTTTCGTTAATAGAAGCATTAGGATATTTAAATTTTTAACTTATAATAGTCAACAAATAGAGAGACTCTGTACTTCTGTGGATTCTGAAGAAAGAGAATTTTGTTAGGGAGCTTAATAAGTTTACGTTGGTATATTTGATAACTCCAGAAGAGAAAAAAGTCATTTCTACTATATCATTTTGGACTTGAAGAAGATGGATTATGTCCTCCATAAATTAAGGATATAAAAAAATCAAAGATTTACTTTGGTTGAATATATATAGTATAGAATCTAATTTAATTAATATGTCAAGAATATTATATATTTTAAAAGAAAATAGTAATTAAGATTTTCAAAGCTGAATCCATTAAAGCAAAATAAAAAATATTGAGACAATTAATTACATACTAGATACAGGAGTTATAGTAAAACCAGGTGGTTAGTTTGGGATTGGATTTTTTGGAATAAATTCAATATCTAAACTACTCTCTTCATCTTCAAAAGTTGGATAATCTAGAAATTAATCAAATACTTAAATACCATATGAATAATAACTATCAAGTTCAATATTATCAAAAAGTTCTCCACTCTAAGAACCAGATATTGAAAGAGATGGACCAAAAAATTATTCAGAGTATTCATCAGATAATTAATTTTTGATTACTTTTGATTTTCTTTTTTGAATTCCTTTCCTAGATTCTAATCTCTCTTCTTAAGTTAATTATTATAATTAAATTATTCCTTAGGATATAGAATTCTATATCTAATTTCTTTTTTTAATGCATCTATTATTTTTGATTTAACATTCGTATTTTAGATTGAACATATTGAATTCCAAACAATCTGTTATAATTCTGAATTAACAATCTGAACTTAAAGAAAAAGCATATGAAATTAAGATTAGTATTAACATGAAAATAATATTATTTAATAATTAATATAACAATTGAATTAGAATCTAAAGGTCTAATGCTTTATTTTTCAGATTCATCCATTAAATTTTCATCTCTCTACCTTTAATTGCTTAAAATTTCTAATTGCAAAATTCTATTTTTGTTATTTTTAGCATATTCTGGTAAAATATGAAAATCTAAATATTTAGAAATGTTATCTCTCTAATAAATTATATTATCTAATAGTCTACAAAATAGTATATTATAAAGCATCAATTTGTAATTTGAATAATTTAGCTTTACAAATGGGACATCTCCATTTTCTTGGATTAGATAATTCAAGCATCAATAAATAATTCTCTAACGAGAAACATTAAATATGATTGCAATAAATTCCTCTTACAGGAGTATTCATAAATGTTGAACTTAAACAACATAATAAAGAAATAGTTTATTTAATTTACTTAATACCTGTTGATGAAATTTAATTCATCTGTAGTATAATAAAATCTTATGCTTATTCTACACTCATCCAATTTTCACTACAGGAAACAATCTTTTCAATTAATTATTTAGCTGAATATTACTTAGTCTTATAAGCAGCTATATAATGCAACTATTCACTTTTAATTCTATATTATCGTTTCTATTCCAGACCTGGTATGGTTTCTTTTATCATTAATGAACATTCTTCATTTTATGGAACTGTACATATCAATTTTTCATCTTTACGTTTATGTTAACAACTTTATTAAGCCAAAGGAATAAATTCAGCTATTTTCTTATTGTTTATGTATAATTCTCCTAAATCTGGCCATGTAATTTCTTCTGCTGATAATGGACAATCCATTCTTATACATCTAATATCTAGCTTATTTGTATCTGCTTTAAATTTAACAGTTTTTGTGCTAGTTAAACCAGTTTTCTTAAATGAAAATGGTTCAATTATGACTGATATTATTTCAAAGAATTAATCCATATGATATAATGTACATCTTGGACATGTAAAATTTTTAACCTATCTTTCATCATAACTTCTATCCAAACAATTCACATGATAATGTTTTTCACATATATGACATTCTACTATTTACTTATAATATAATTAATTTGCACAAAAACAAAATTCGCAATTAGGTTACTACTTTTATCTGTAATATTTCCTTTTGATTATATTACATACTTCTTCCATATTATATTTTTCAATCTCCGTATCTTTCTATTATTCAATTTCAATCGAAGCATTTGAAATTTATGTAGTTTCTTAACTTACTTATAATTCTTCCAAATCTCTCATAATTTTTATTTCTTTCTCAATCAAAATCATCTCTTGCAATTTCTCTATATGCTATTCAAAATATAAGTGTATTAACTCATTTATACTCTAAATTGTTTCATCTAATTATGGCTATTATCTTGCTATATGAGGATCCAATCGAAGAAGACTTTAAAAATATAATTCTTAAACGGAATTAGGCTTTTAATCTTTAAATAATTGCTCAAAATAAACCATTTAACTTCTATCTGAGGTCACCTTATTTATTATTGTTGGAAGTTCTTATTTTAGCTATTTTCGAAATACTTCTAACTCTTATTGCAATTACTATATTTTCATTAAAATATTTGGTCAAAGTTTATTAAATAAATTTTAAAAACCCATAAGTATGGAAATATTTGCCATATTTTTAGGTAAGTA